CTTTTAAAATTGGTCAAGGTCTAGTACAGCTTCCGAAGTTTTAAAGAACTTCTTTAATATACAAAATTACCTACGCTTACGTGAGCACCAAACCGGCACCTAATTAGCAAAGGTATAACACCACTAAGACTTATTAAATTCTTCCAACGTCCGTGTAACGCGACCCAAATAATAGAAACAAAACATTTTAAACTATAATTTTTTTTTTAAATATTCATTAACTAATACTTTATAAATAACTAGCAGAACCCGCGGCTTCGCCCGCGTTCAAGAAAAACCCCTGTAAAAAATGAAAAATAAAAACTTAATAAAATGTAAAAAATAACTGATTGGTAGTTTTCATTTACTATAGATACCTAATCAGATATTTTCGAAGTCGGTGCCAGCCGATACAAGGCAAAGCACACCGACGAAGGAATATAGTATTATGCAGTCGGAGAGACACTCGCAGCTATAATAAAACATGTAGGTACATACTCGTATGTATGTCCCCGACTGCATTATACTATGTACTTTCGTCAACTTGTTCTCATTTTTTTAGTTCGCATTATACGCACTCGGGTTTTTTTTATTTTAGTAAATATATTTACAGCTTTTTAATTTTGGTCAGTTAGACATTTTTTGTTTTATTTAACAATTTTTTATCCTAAATTATATACATTTTGATTTTGATTTTTAATGATATTTATATATGAGTTATGGCTCTCGCGTTATCAAGACGAATCAAACGAAGTGAGAGACATCAAAATTAATTAAGTCGTTTAGTAATTACGAGAGAACATAGGGTCGGACATACATACACATACAGGTCAACCACATAATCCTCCTTTGGGCTTGATCGCAGTCGGGTAAAAATAAAATCAGTGGATAAACAGAGGAGAAAAAGTAATGAACTGTTTAGTCTTTGCACATTTAAGTATATATACATACTAGCAGAACTCGCGGCTTCAAAAAACTCTAAAAAGATAGGTTTCATACAAACTTTTATCCGCTATTTTACCCCTTATGGGATGAATTTTGAAAAATGCTAAAACACGTATTTATTTAATTGTATTGAAGAGCATTATTACCAAGTTTCAAGTAATTCTGATCATAAATGTTCTTTGGATTGTATTATAACGTGTTTAACGTGGGAATTAGATAATCTCCCGCGGTACAAAGTAACGTATGTCACTTTCCAGCCCTCCAACTATCTCCACACAAAAATTCACGCTAATCCATCACTCCGTTTCGACATGAAAGAAGGACAGACAAACAAACAAACAAACACACAAACAAACAAACACACTTTCACATTTATAATATGAGTATGGGTAGATAGATTATTATATAATACATTTAATAATAGAATGTTTAAGAATTCATATTACGTTTGATTTATTTGTATGTGTTATATGGCAGAACAATGGTGTGACTGTTAGTGGTTTATAACATGGTCGCCATTTCAATTTTTTGTGGTAGTTCATAGCTTGAGTTCTCTCAAATCCTGAAAACCTGACATTTAAAATGTTAAGAATTTGTGCGAACCTCTATCATCATTACCTTGTATTGTGGTTCAGGAAAATTTTTGAGGATATCTACCTGCATATTTTACCTCGCATTTGAATGTGGCCCGCTCTCGCATGGAGATGAAGACTCTGCTCAGATGGGAAGCTTGGAATTAAATACATATTTCTTTCTCGAAACTTTCAGGGTAAAATGAAGCATTTGTCATTTCAAACTTCATCTATTGAAAGTGTCTGTCTGTCTGTTTCTACTTACATAATAAAACTACCCAATTTAAACTAAATTTGACCATGGCTCCGCTCTCGTGGTGGTACATCAAATTCCCTTTCATCGTTACGGTGTGACAAACATACACACACACAAACTTTAACTTTTATTGCAATAGTGTGGTTAGTACGATAGCATGTGAACGAAGTTCTGGTATTTTGCTAGTGTAGATTATTTAGCGTAGTCAGTAAGTCCGCAAGTGTTAAATGATGAACATCCTTTGACTTCAATTATTTCGCTGTTTGACGATTCTATTTGGACTATTTTTGGTATAGATATTGAAACAATGTATTTAGGGGACCGAAGTCAAACAAGAGAAGGTGGTTTACTGATGAAATCGAATGAATAAATCGGAGAGACAAAGGGTTTACTTTTGTTAATTTAAATTCTATTTTATGTAATGTAGATTCTGAGGTAGTAGCATATAAATTTATTTTATACAGCCTTTATCGTTCATGAGAAAATCGAAATGCGTAGGACATATCATAGTGCACAAGTGTGCGCTCAGACACAAGTACTCTATTTCTTTTACTCTTAAAGTCCGATGGAACGATACTTAGATACTACTTTTGCTACAATGGACCAAAACTGGTCCAAAAACGACACTCTGCGCGGCCTGGGGTTCAAACCCAGGAAACCCGGGTCTACAGAAATAAATGACGACTAGACTAATTGGGCAGTTATGGCTATGACACAATTATGCATGTATGTAGGAATGATTATACCACAAATGTCACCTACTTTAGAATACTTTCAATACGTACATATGTATATCGTACAACGGACAGTATGTCATGTTATTTTAAACTAGGACTGGAGCTCTTCCAATAGCCTAGGATCTATGAATATAAATCTAGTTGCATATTATAAAATTAGGTTAGGGAGACTCTTCGGCAAAAAAACCAGACCTACCACTAAAACCAACGAAATCTCCTTACGTGGGGCACTGTATGATCACTTGCACACTGGACCACGACTGCCCGACGGCTGCCTACTGAGGCAGATCACAACAACCAGGAGTTTGAACCCACGGTTCGTATATGGAAATTTCAGAGGTGCGAGACCCGGAGATGAATCAGATTCATTTAGAAGCAGATTTGGAATTATGCATTGTTACAGCATGTTTTATTACTTTTATTGATCTATTATTGGCATTTTAAACAAATATTCTATAACCATGATTAACGTAAAGCATTTGAAACGTCGAAAACCGAGGTGATTAAAAAATCTGCCATTCATTAATGATTGTACTGTATTATGTATTCATAGATAGTGCTGTTTACATTACATGAGTTATCTTCCATTTAAGAAAAGTTTGCCACTGAAATTGTAAATATTTTATTAAGCTAGTATTTTTGCAGATTAACGTGTACTAATATATTAGTACAGGAAGGTCCCGTTGGCACCCTTCGGGTACGAAACCCTAAAAAAGGCAGGAAGAAATTACACTATGCACTTGTCTACATTATCACATCAGCTTGATGGTATCGAATTACAGTTGTCATCCCCGTTCCCAATTTCAAATACTAGCAAAGTGACAAAAGTTAAAATCTACTTCCAGGATTTGGCTAAAAACAAGTACTTATAGATAATTAGATCACTAATATTATAAATGTGAAAGTGTGTTTGCTTGTTTGTCCTTCTTTCACGTGAAACCGGAATGACAGATTGGCCTAATATTTTGTGTGGAGATGTTTGGGGGCCGGAGAGTGACATAGGCTACTTTTTACCGCGTTACCACATTATAATACGACCCAAAAATTATTTATGATCAGAATTACTTGAAACTTGGTATTAATGCTCTTCAATGCAAATAAATACATGTTTTAGCATTCTTCGAAATTCATCCCATAAAATTGTAAAATAGGAGATGAAAGTTTCTATGAAACTACCTTTTATAGATATTTCTCAGTAGTGTTAGCGCGAGCGAACCCGCGGGTTCCGCTAGTAGATAATAAAATCGTGTCAATAAAATAATAACAAACAGTTGCGCGTTCTTTACTTTAACAAAGTGCGACGTTGTGTATCGAAACAACACGCAAAAAATATATGAAAGGAGTTAGTCATTACTAAAAAAATCATTGACTCGAATGAAATAATGCTTCCAGTCAATTGTTTTTAGAGTTCCGTACCTAAAAGCGAAAGAGGAAACCCTGATCCGTCGTTTTATCCGTCCGTATGTCACAACCATTTTATTCGGGAAAGTTTTCGTGCTATTTAGCTGAAATTTTAAAGAGATTTTTTGTACATATTACAAAAAAATATATAGGTATATAAAAAACTCAACTGCGTAAAAACCCAACTAAATTGAGGAAACAAGTTGACAAAGTAACATAGTATTGTGTAGTCGGAGACATTACAAGTTTCATCCTTAGTGCTTGATGTTTGTACTGCTCCATTTAATACGAGGGGCATCAGGCCATAGTCTACCACGCTGGCCATGCGCGGGTTGGCGGAGTTCACATGCCTTTTACAAACTAGTTGGTTTACTTACGATATTTTCCTTCACTGTAAGGCGATAGGTGTAAGTTGGAAATGACATTTGCACATGAAAATATCGAAGGTGCGAGAGTCCGCATTTGAACTCGCATCCCTTGATTTAATAATCGTGTTACCACTGTTCTACCACTATCTTAGCGATTATAAAAATATTATTTTTGAAGTGAAACTTCTTTAGACGCTCTATGAGAGGGAAAATAAGCATTGGCGTTAAGATTTTTGTAACGAAAACGGTTGTTACTGAAGAGAATAAATATTCAATTAAAAATTATTTATAAAGGTATTACATTAATATTTCAAAGAATAAATGAAATAAAAAAATATATTTATACAAAAATACTGCTCTCATTTATTTTTAAATAAACGATGGAATCACATCATTAGTGTAAAAAAATTATGTACTTGAAATAATTCTTTTACATTAATTTTTTTTCACAAAAAATTGCATCCCTGTATCATTATTTATTTTATTGGAGTATATAATTTATTGAATCATTATAATATTTGATTCTTAAAACGATCTGTTCTATGTAAATAATAAAATATTATTTTCATTTTTAAATCTAAAAAAAAATTTTTTAGTATCAGCTCTCCGAATCCGAATTATTTAAAACATAAACTGAATTTGATAAAAAGTACCGATAACATACTGAAGTTTCATTTTTTGTGCGTGTAGGTACACATTGATAGACGAACTCTCAGTCATTTAAATTTTTTTTTCGTTTCAGTACCGATACATGGCCCGCGATGTTCATCAGCAATGGGATGATGATGGTTACTCGGACAGAGACAGTGACGACAGTAATTACAGGTATGTGAGTGATTTGATGAAATCACCATTTAGGAAATGCCTAAATGGCGATGATCAAAACCTAAATGATGATGAACATTGAAAATGGTAATTTTTAAAGTATTATTTTTTATGGAATTATATTGTTACTCTATATTAAGATATTTACAAAACAGAAATTCTTGAAAAATATCTTCCTAAATAGAAAAATTGCTTCTTCGCTTCGTTACAGTATAGTATCTTGCAAGTTTTAATATATTAGTTTAATTAAAAAAATTTAAATATTGAAAACAGACTTCAAAATTTTTTTATTTACTATAGGAACTTAGGAACTATGTCGAATATTTTTTAAGCCGTTATATAAATGTTATATTTTAAAACGAGGTATTAGAAGTCGACCTGATAACAGCATGTATTGCAAAATATGGTCGGAACTATGTACCATTAACTTTTATATACTACTAACAAAACCCGCGGCTTCGCTCGCGCTCAAATAAAAAAGTCTAATAAAGTAGGTTTCATACAAGCTTTCATTCCTTGTTTTACCCCCTTAATGGATGAATTTCGAAAAATGCTAAAACACGTATTTATTTAATTGTATTGAAAAGTATTAATACCAAGTAACTTAGACCATAAATAATTTTTGTTGTTGTACCTATTACAATGTGTTTTCCAATGTTACTCTCTAGCCCTCCATCTCTCTCCACACAAAAGATCACGCCAATCAGTCACTCTGTTTTGACACTCTGTTTTTGTGAAAGAAGAACGAACAAACAAACAAACACACTTTAACATTTATAATAGGTATTAGTATGGATATCGATAATTTTAACTTAATGGTTAAATAACATCTTTATAGATAAATACAATTTAAATGTCTGTTTGTAATGTCAGAATAACAGATTTTTATCAAATTCATGTACATGTAAATTATATACGGAACTTAAAAGAAAAACTCAATTTTTAAATTTTTGTCGTCTGTTTATTCCGGTTAATCACCGAAACGGTTAGACCGATTCTGACGGGACTTTCACTGGCAGATAGCGGATGTTATGAGGAGTAACATAGGCTACTTTTATTTGAGAAAAATATTTTTTACAAAAAGTATTAGGGTTCCGCTCAAAAATTTAAAACGTATCAAGGACGAGGGGCTATCCCGAGCTAAGCGATGGTAAGTAGCTAGTACGGCATATTACCACTAAAAATACAATGGAATTATCCAATAAATCTACCAAAAAAATCGTAATCAGCTTATGAGAAATGTTAAATATCAGTTCATATAACGAAATCACTAATTGTAAAAATATGAAATGAAACTAGCCTTTTCTCGTGGTTTCGTCCACGTCGTTAATTTAGAAGTAGGTATTACTCCACTCTCTTAGGTCGTGTGATGTAAGACAGACTAAAGAATTATATGGACGGAATCCGTAAAATACTTGCCAAAGTAAAAAAAAGTAGCGTGATGTGAGAACTTAACGAAAACCAATGGATAGATTTTGATGAAATTTGATATAATAGCTATAATAATAATAATAATTCGATATAAATGGTTATCCGGGTCAACATATAGGATACTTTTTACTGCGATAAAATATCTCATCTCTGAGAAAACTATACTAAACGTTAAAACATAACGTCTTAAATATAAAGTATCTTTTCGGATTTATTTCGATTTTTGGTTCCCGACTGTTCGAAAGTTTTGCAGTAATCATGATCACGGGAGATACTACCTGGTCTGCCTGGAGATAGATGTTTTTGACGTCTTAAAAGTTATTATATAGTTGATATATACGATATATAAAATATACATAATTATCCTTTATCAATTCAGAAAAAATGAGAATTGGCACCGAAGTGGCTTATAGTTTAAAAACTAGTTTTATTTACAAGCATATGTTTATTTAGTAGATGCATTTCGTACAAATGCTTTCAACCGTTACTTGATTGAGTAACGTATCACCTAATATGTTAACTTTCAAGTTTTCCACGCTAATTGTGGCATACGACTTTGCTTTGTGCATATCATATTTCCATTATCAATTCCTCGTAGTCTCTTCACAGTCGGTTCATCCATTTATGATGTGACTCTAGACATAATGAAAATATTCAATAAGACAGTGGTAGCCCAGTGGTAACGCGCTCGCTTGGAAAACCGAGTGAATCGCGTTCATATCCCGGCTCTCGCACCTCTGATATTATCATGTGCGAATCCTTTCCAATATGATCACCGCTTGTATTACGGTGAAGGAAAACATCCTGCATGTCTTCGAGAACTTAGCAAGTTTTCGAAAGACATGTAAAGTTCGCCAACCCGCACTTGGCCAGCGTAGTGCACTATGACCTGATTGACCCCCCAAATACTAGAAGGAGGCCCATATCCAGCAGTGGAACGTTAAAATAAGGTTGAATACAGGGAACTGGCAGTGTTGGTCGCCTGATAGGTACGTAGAAATTAGGCCAAGGTAGTGGTGGCCCAGTAAAACTGAATATAGCGGGTTCAAATCCCTAGTCTTGCACCTCTGACATGTTCATGTGCGAATTATTTCCAACATGATTAATATGTAGGCTATTTTCATCCCAAACGCTTAAATCCATTGAGTCGTTACAGATTTAAATTTGTGTAATATTTTTGTTATGTGCATGGTACGTGTATGATCTTACCTAATTGTGAACCGATTTCGCAACTGTTTTATGAATTGAGACAGATTAAAAAATATAATGATTTATCTAGCGGCCTAACAGCTTATCTTGTACAGTGGTAGCCCAGTGGTATCGGGTTCGCTTGGGAAACCGAGTGAAGCGAGTTCAAATCCAGGGTCTCGCACCTCAATATTTTTATGTGCGAATCATTTCCAACATGATTACCACTTTACGGTGAAGGAAAACATCGTGAGGAAACCTTCATGTCTGAGAGAACCTAGCTAGTTTTTAAAAGACCGTCAACCTGCACTTGGCCAGCGTGGTGGACTATGACCTGATTTTCCTCGTACTGCAGAAAGGCTCACCCCCAGCAGTGGAACGTTAAAAAGGGCTGAATACTAACAGCTTACCTATATGTGTTACTCCAGGTCATAGTCTACCTACTAAATTTCATCCAAAGACATCCATCCGTTTCGACATGATGGAGTAACAAACGTAAAGGCATTCAAACTTTTGCATTTATAATTTCGCAGTCCCATTTAAAATCGGTCTATTTTTAAAAATCTAAACAAATTGTACATAGTAGTCATAGAACGTCGCCTTAGTGCTTGTTTATTTGTTCAAACTACGAATACTTGTTGTACCTACTTTTCAGTAGATAGTTTTTTCTTTATTTCAAAAACAAAGCTTTACTTATATGTATATATAAAAATAAATTTTCGGCATTTTTAAGTAAAATATAACAGAATAATATAATCGACATTTAAAAGTCAATAATTCTACAATAAAAACTTTTTCGGTAAATTGGTCGTTTGAACAAATAAGTATTGAGACGACGAGAAGTCGAGTAGTTAGAAGTTATAAATGTTCTACCGGCCAATAATGCCCAATAACTGAGCCGATTTCGGTGAACTCAAATTTCATTGATTGATTGCTCTCATGAAGTTTGAATGCCCTTTATAAAGAGTAGATAATATGTACTTGTACGTAACGTTTTGTTTTTAACCGACTGTGATTAAGTCTGGAAAGAGGGTTAGGTATTTCACTTGTATGTACAAATATGTCGTAGTTCTATATTCGAGTGTTATATTAAAATAAAAAAAGCAGTCATGAGGACTGCCGACAGAAGTAAAATCGTAAAAATATAAACAAACAGTTGTTATTTTTTGGATATTCAAATTAATTGTTTGATCTTAAATTAAAATTTGTAAATTAAAACTGTTTACATTTATGTGGTTTTGACATCTATCGGCACTCTGAGTGTTAGCGCTAACACGTCACGTGACCATGTCAATGACGACTTACATAAAACTACCCATCCAAACCTGCCTATTAGATAGATTCTAACTATTTTGGCTTGAAAAATAGTTAGAATCTATCTATAATATAAAAATGAATCGCTGAATGTGTTGGTAAGCGCAAATCTCGAGAGCAGCTGAACCTATTTCGCTAATTCTTTTTTTAGAATATTTCTTGAAGTACGAGGATGGTTCTTACTGAGAGAAAAATTAAAAAAAATGCCTAAAATAGTCTAAAAACAGCACTTTTCTATACTCCCATACAAAGGATTCGTAATAATACTTAAAATTAAATTTGAACTTTAATACCATAACATAAAGTTTAAGTGTTAGTGGAGAGGTTCCGGGAAGTCAAAACATTGATAGCAATTGAGTGACGTTAGAATCGTATAAATATTAATGTAAATATTTGTCAATATTATTAACAAAAAAAAAATTACATGGCTAACGTTGGGTAAGTGAATGTGACAAGCTATGAATATGACTATATGACCTATAGAAGTTTTCACTTCAAAATAAAATGGTAGATTTTAAGAACCAATTTGGGCTTTGTAAAACTTTTTTCTTTCGTACTTATCGAGTGAGGTATCAAAATTACGGGTTTTAAGAGGCAATCATAATAATATATAAAAATATTACGTATTAAAACTATTTGTAATAACAAATGTTAAACACGTAGCAACACTCGCAGCAAGTATTAAATATGTGTGTACAATGTATGTATGCACATATTATTATGTACGAGTATGTTCCTGACTGCTTAATACTACCATACGCCCTAACGTCAACTTGTTTCCATGTTTTTAGTTCGCCTTTTACGCAGTCTGGTTTTTTTACATTTGATTTTTCCTTACATATGTTTTTTTAAGTGGATCCGAAATTATATTAAATGCGAAATTTTGTATGTGTGTATGTTTGTTACTCCACGGTAAAACGGCTGGACAGATTTGGATGAAATTTAGTATACAGAATACAGATACACTATGCCCTGGGGTTAATACATAGGCTCCTGCATGTAGAACGCAGTCAAGCAAAGCGGGGGTAAGTCGTTTGTATTTTTAACCGACTTCAAAGAGAAAGAGGTTTTCAATCCGGCTGTATTTTTTTTATGTTTGTCACCTCAGAACTTCGTCATGTGTTAAACGATTTGGAGACACTTTTTGTTTTGTTGGGAAGTGATTCCTTCTAACTTAGTCCCAATTAAATTTGAAAAAAGAAAGATACTACACCTAAGGGTGCAAAAATAGCTAATGAAAATTTAATCTACTTCTAATTGTCATATTGAATTGAAAATTTGCAAGTGTTTCTATTGCCGTTGATAATGCTGTTATTCGGTATCGCCGACCTGATCTGATGGTAAGGCTAGAAAGTGGACAGGTGGAACTCTTCAACGGCTAATAGTAGATATTTTGAGTTTGGGCTTATTTTGTTTGATTTGTCAAGCCCAATTATACGTTATTTTATATTGTTGTCGCCTAAATGAATAATTTATAATAATACTTTCTTCTTACTTTGCTACCACTATGTGTACAGTAAAAAGTAAAAATTCAAAAATAAAAAGAAAAAAAAAAGTAAAAACCGACTTTAAAAGCACTAAAAAGTAAAAAATAACTGATTGGGAGTTTTCATTTACTACAGATATATAATCAGATATTTTAGTATAATATATATAGTAAATAAAAACCATCAATCAGTTATTTTTTACTATTTAGTATTTTTTTTGAGGTTGTTTTTTTTTAGTTTTTATTAACTGCCGACTCAACAGGTAGGGTCTTATAAGTTTAACGTGTGTATCTGTGGCATCGTAACGCTCAAATGGATGAATGAATTTTATTAATTTTTTTGCGTAAAAGGTGACTTAATCGGGAGTATTCTAGTGTGTTGTAGCTATAAATGAAGAAAATCCTTTAAACCGCTTACTGGCCATCAGCTCTTTCCTAGAAGGTAAAAGGATATAAACAACATCCACAGATCTAATCCAATCCAAATTTGGTATCCCGTTACTTCGATGACATCGCAATGATATGTAAACCTAGACCCGATGCTTCGGCGTCACTTGGAATCTGCGTGATCAGACTCAACTCTTAACAAAAATACTGCAGAGAAATCGTGTTTAGGCTGATTGATCTTATTATTGTGTTAGGGGTTTGTTAAATTTTTAATTTTTTGTACGTTTATTAAATGCAATTTAAAATACCCTATAGGTGTTATTCCAGGATATAATCTATTTACGATTTTCATCCAAATCTGTTAAGCCATACAAATAGACAGACATATATACAAATATTTTAACCCATATTGTTTTTATCATAGATACGATCAACGGAGTAAGCTGCTTCCACGTGATGCTAAGGTCGAGAGAGACAGACGATGGGCGGTGACGGTGGTCGCGAAGGTTTCCATCATCAGCACGGCCATGATCCTCTTCTGCGTATTCCTCTACATACCAGTGTATAATAAGGCCAACGATCAGATACCGAAAGGTAAGTTGGGTAAAGTATATTTTTTATGATTTTTTCAGTGATAGGTCATATTTTTTATAGAATTAGGGCGCACCGAGGCAATTACGTAATAATTTCGTTCGTTTGATCCTTTGCAGTATTGTTATTACTAAAACTTTTATTATGCAATTAATATGTAGGATATTTAAGGATTTATTCTATAAAGCATACACTTTAGAAACACGATTACTTGTAGTTTCCTCGATAGAAAAAAAATCCAAAGTGATCTCTAAAAACAAAATGAACCCTTAGTGCGTCATAAATAATTCAAGGAAGTTCATTAGCTTTTTAATAATAACAAAAACTATACGTTTTCTACAACGTATACACGTTACATTTTCATAATGTGTATTTCTTTTAATAATAGGAGGCAGGGGCGGCCTTAGCCATTGCGAGGCCTCGAGCAGTAGATCTTTGCGAGGCCCTTGTCCTTTATGGAATTTATGTGAATTGAAAATATTTTTAATGATAATGCTTGACGAGAAATGTTAAAGTTACAAATAAATAAATTTAAAGTTTTCTAAATTGTATATTGGAAATTTAGAAAAGTTAACAAGCACAAAGAAGACAAAATTATTTTCTCAACATTCTTAGTTTTAGCGTGACTTGCATTCATTCTATTAGCTCAATTTGAATTGTTTTTCAGAGATAGTGGACATTATTTGTATCTTTTTAGCAGTGCTGGATTTACACTAGGGGCACTCCGGCGGCAAAATTCGAAGGGTGGGAAAAAAATTCTTCACATTATCGAAAATGCTTTTTTTATTTCCCAAAAAATTTAAAAAACTTAAAAAAGATTAACTAGTAGATACATTTTTCGAACAAATGATATCACTTATAATAATTTTTTTTCGAAACTATTTATTTTATGCAAAGTTGCGATAATAGGCGGCATTTTTTATAGTGCCCAGGGGTGGCACTAAGGTTGAATTCCGCACTGCTCTTTAGAACTCATGAGCTCGAAGGAGCTCGGTTGCTTGGAAGGCTTTTGTGGGGACACAGGTCCAACACGTATAGACCCTTTAAAAGATTTAAATGTTTAATATGACGCATCAGCCGGCATCTATCTCTGAGTAACCCATTAGGAATTGCTTATATATGGTCCGGACAATGCGTAGGAACTTTGGAAAATATTGAAAACTACAAGAGTCTATGGAAAGGAGTAAATTTAATAATCCGTTCACAATCCTTTATCTAAATTTAACCGTTTTAACATACAATCTTTATACAGTTGAAACTCGAAGTCATAAAACTTTAAATATTTATCCAAGTGTTTTCAATTGCAAATTTCTGCACTGGACCCAATTCTTTATATTCTATTCAGAACAATCGACAGAAGTAAATGGCATGTTTTGTGAGTAAATAAATCATCCAGCGCTTGTTCAATATTTCGCCATAAGCTAATATTTTATTGTAATGATACCTATTCACTGAATCGCCGTCCACTATCGTTTACGGGAAAAAAATCCGTCTTAGCGCGGATTGGACCTTTCAACGAAATCTCAGTTCGGTCTGCATCAGTAATTGTTGATGGCCACAAAACTGGGTCATTTTATGTATTCAGATATTCAATTCCGCCACTCATGGATATAGACATAGATTTAGACACGTATTTCTGGCTGGATAATGCTGACGACGGCGGCCGCGGTGGAGTAACAATGATGTTGTTTACTTACTATTATCATGCTATGCATGCTAGGAAGCAGCGGCATCTCAGACGATGTCGAAAAAAATATTTTAGTTGGGTTAGGCTTAGAATGCAATAACATTTCACTTTTAGTCACTGAAAGGTCTTAAGGACTTTTTTATATTTATATAGAGACCCATACAGATTTTCTTATACCTGCTTTCTTTTGATGGCTTGTTGCCTTTTTAAACTACCAAACTAAATTTTTCTACTGGCATCACAATCGCGTGAACTCATTTTGAAAATCGTTTTTACACATAAAATTAATAAAAAAATTACAAGCAGTTGTACGCAGTTTTTTTACTAATTCACTCTTTACTATAATTACTATAATAACGTAAAATTTAATATAATTGGCTTATTGAAATATATGTGCTATACAAACGCTACATGCTTATACTGGCGCGATGTGGGTTTTGTAATGTACGGCGTAAGGCAGGAGATTCTGATACACTTGGATTGTTGTGCGAACCTTGCGCGAGGCCCCTACAAGAGCGAGGCCCCTACAAGAGCGAGGCCCCGGGTGGTTGCCCTGCTTGCCACCCCCTAAGGCCTCCACTGATACGAGGGAAATATCTAAATTCGCACGCGTTCCGTCCATTCTGACCGTACGCACCCCCACACCCCCCTCTCTCCCTGCCCGCTGACGTCCTACTAAGAAAAAGCTTGGTGCCCCCTTAAATAAAAAGAATTTTGGTGTCTAGATAACGAAAATAAATGATGACTTGTCTGCAAAGATTTCTAGGTTCGCTATTTAAATACATATATCGCTATATATATATATATATATATATATATATATATATATATATATATATATATATATATATATAGCGATATATGTATTTAAATAGCGAACCTAGAAATCTTTGAAAATATATATATATATATATATATATATATATATATATATATATATATATATATATATATATATAACGTAACAGTCACACAAACCTACAAAAATTCGAATAGGTAAGTGTTCTAAGTCGGTTATAATAGAAAGATGTTTCAATGGCTTGAACTTATAATGTAAGCCATACGGTTTACATAACGAATTGGGTCGCAGTTTTTTCATTACGTAACTATGTAACTTAGTGAGTGTGTCAAATGAAAACTTCTTTTTAATATGCTTTTATGAGTTCCCTTAAACTCTATGTAGGTAACACTGTACACAAATGTTCCTATGTAGTTTATATTTAGCAAACTAACTTTGTAATTGCATTGTTTTTAAATATAAACTAGCGGCGTACCGTCGCTTCGTTCGGCGCGTCCTTAGGTACGCGGATGTTGTTCATAATTTCATGGGTTTTAATTTTTTCGCGCGGAACCCTAATTCTTTTTCTAAAATAAAAGTAGCCTAAGTTACTCCTTATAACATCAACTATCTGCAAGTAAAAGTCCCATTAGAAGCAGTCTAGCTCTTTCGGAGATTAGCCGAAACAAACATAAAGACATTTTTTTATTTTATAAGCTCCGCATTCATTCACATGTATTTAGTAAAAATCTGTTACTTTGACATTACAAATAGACACTTCAATTTTATTTATTTGTGTAGATTAATTGAACAATAGCGTTCCTGGTTCTTTTTTCTATTATACAATATGTTTCGTATTTGTATATCTAGGTATACTATCTATACTAATATTATAAAGAGGTAAAGTTAGTAAGTTTGTGAGATTATGAATTTGTGACGTTGTAGAGGATAATCTCTGGATCTACTGAACCGATTTAAACAAAATTTGGTAAGAAGATAGTTTGTGACCCTGGAAGGACATAGGATAGTTTCCAGGTCTGAATAAGTATTTTATTGTTCTACAAATATTAAGGAAAATCGAAACCCGGCCTACGCGAATACTAAACAGTCGTTTTTTCCACTAAGCACTATAACACGTTAACCTTTTAGAAAATCTTAATCCTAAGAACCTGTCGATTTCAAGGAAGGAATTTCAAGGTATATCGCGTTATCTGTAAATTATCTTGGAAAATGATAGGTGTCGTCTGCACAACTTCTGTATCAAAAAGCAAATGGGTCAATGGATTTTCTTTTACATCGTCAACTCAGTTTTTTCTACCATCTCCGACCAAAATTTCAATAAAATTCCTCCCATGTGGATTCCGCGCCATGAAGGAAAATATATAGAAAAAGTTAAAGCAATAAAATGTATTAGTTAAATCCCTGTTTAAATTAAGATATCTGCGAAAAAAGATGATAAATAAAATCTGATGTAAATCATTTAAAGATTAGTTAGTAGTTTATGTGAAGAAGTAGATGCATCTCCCTGGAAATAATTCTGCCGCCACCCATATTAAAAGGTTTTGATATGGATGGCGTCAGGTTCTGACTTCAACAGGTTTTTTTCTTTACAGTCGCAGTAGCGGGCTGGTCACTACATACAAATAGGGACACAAAAATATACGTACAGCCAGACAACGTCACAACACTCCACGAACCAAAAGATATATGTCCAAAAAGTAATAGAAATAAAAGAAATAGTTTATTCTTACTAATAGTAGTGTGTTCTTCTACGAGTAACTTCGCCGAAAGGGCCGCGATACGTGAAACTTGGGGCAACTATCAGAATTATTTGAATACATCGAAAATTTTTCACGCTGTCAGAGACAAACATAAAGATTACAATTACACGTATGATTTATATGAAGAAGTTGACACGAAAAATGTCAATGTTAGTGAAAATACGATAGGTAGGGAAAAGAGAGACATATCTGGTATTGGTCAGTTCCTACCCAAACTGGCTCAAGTCTTGCAAAATAATCTGGTCAATGTTGAACATGAAGTGCCAGATGAAAAAAGGTTTGAAGATGAGGATGATAAAGAACAGGAAATGTTGCCAGAGTTTGACATGAACAAAGAATTAAATGAACAAGATGACGATTTAGATATGGAATACGATTATCAGTCGAATATAATGAAGATTCCTCCAAAAGGTTATGAGGATGAGAGCCCAGATTTAGGGAAAATATTAACCATTCTCAAAAAATCAAAGGATATTCCAAAAGAAGATGTCACTGATAAGGAACCTGGTAACATTAATGTGGATTTTAAGGTTGTATTTCTATTGGGGTTGCCATCGCAGGATAACGAAACTGAAGTTCAGGAGAAAATTGAACAAGAAGTAGAAAAATATGGTGACATAATTCAAGAAGGATTTATTGATTCATACAATAATTTGACTTTGAAATCTATTATGATGTTGAAGTGGGTCACCAACAATTGTAATGAAAGTGGTAAGACATATTTTTTCATTTTAAAGAAAATATTCTAAAGTATGTCTTTATTATATTATTAATTACTAGCATTGCCCCCGGCTCCGCCCGCGTTCAGATGACCACAAACCAAATTCTTAGGTTTTACATATTAGTATACTCTTAATTGCAGTTTTTGTATTTTTTCTCAGAAATGAAACATTTACCTGCGGTAAAAAGTATCCTATATGTTGACCAGGACAACCAGTTATCATCATATGCATCAAAATCTGTCCAACGGTTTTCTCGTGATGCAGTCACAGACAGACAAAAATTCCAAAAACTATAGATTCGGCCTCTCTATCGATAATAATGACTATTTTAATAAGATTTTTCTGAAAAAAATATTTAATGTACAGATTCGATTCAGTTAGAATTTTATAATATGAATAAATAGATGAAAAAAGGTCACGTGACATATTTAAACAGTTTGGTTCTTACCAATGTTTTCTTTTGGATTTAACTATCTAAAATGTTAATATGTGTTGAAAATTTACTTTCATATTTTAAAATATAGAAACCATAGTTTTAAATTACTATCAATGAACTAAATGAATATGCAATTGAAAATGATTACAATGAATTGATATTTAAATACTGTAAGTTGTTTCTATACAATACTACCGACTTGCCCTTGTTTCCCTCTGGTGCATCCCTTAAATTGAATGGTTTAGGAACGCATGAAGGAGAAACATTCAAAGAATTTCTTTTTTTTTGCACTAGGAACCTTCGCAGGCGTATACAGGACAACCCAGCAAAGTTTCATCACAATCGGATCAATGATTTAGGGACGCAAAGAAGACAAACATACAAACATTCATTTTTATTTATATAGAAGATATAAAAACGAATATTTTCTCTGTATAATGTAGAATGAAATTTTACAATCTTTACTAATAATATAAAGGCAAAGTGTTTATGTCCATTTGTTTATTTTTTATGCGGCAATAACAAGGAGTCTGATAGATATTTGATTGGAAAAATAGAAGAATAAAATGTGAAATGAATCTTTAAAATCGAACAATCTGTTTCAGTACGTTACATCCTAAAGACTGATGATGATATGTACGTGAATGTGCCAAATCTTGTCTATACCCTGAAGAACAGGTCCAAGATCCACGACACTACCAAGGGTCAGGAGCTGGAGTACTTATTGATAGGTGACCTGATATGTGGAGCGCGACCGGTTCAGGATGTTGGCAGTAAATGGTAAGAAATATATAGGAAGGAAAAAAATTCAGACAGAAAGAACTATGTTTTATCTATACTTATAACACAGTCTACTAATTAGACAGACAGAGGGATCTTTCGGGGAAAAATGAAAGAAAACAAAAAAAAGAATACTTGGTCTTCAAAAGACCTCCGAATACTTCCCCTATTTCGCTTTCCATTCACTCTTCGACAGACTTCTATATTTTCCCATCCATTCTTTCATTCATTCATTCTTTATAAAACTGTATCTTTTATTTCTAGGTACAGTCCAAAGTATATGTATGGGGCCAGGGTATACCCACGGTATCTATCTGGGACGGGATACGTCATGTCCGCTCCCACTGTTAGAGCGCTTTATAAAGCGGCCTTGACTACTGCGTATTTCCATTTAGAGGACATTTATATTACTGGTAAGTTAATAATCGACTTTGTAATAAAGAGGTGGTTCGTTCAAGTGTTTTGTAAGCTTTCGTGAGAATATACATATAAGCGACAATTACTGAATTGCCGGTTTAAAAAAAAAGAATTGTTTTATGTTACTTTCCTGAATTTTATAGTGTTATTAAAACATCTAAATTTATTATAAGTATATCGCAAACTTCATTCGTTATAGTTAGTTTACGAGCGACTTACCATCGCTTCACTCGGTTGTGTTAGCGGACAGCGGTAACATATAGTTATTCGTAGTTAGCGGTAGCATGTCATTAGGCTTCTCCAGATTATATATCTGTATATTAAATTCCAAATCCGTCCAGCTGCTTAAGCGTGAAGGAGTTACAAACACACACAAACACACGCACACGCATACACACACACACACACACACACACACACACACACACACACACACACACACACACACACACGCACATAACCGTGGGAGCAACCCCATGGTTATTGCGGTCTGTTTCCTCAATAATAACGAAATGTATACCACACAGGTATATGCTCAGTGCGAGCGAAGCCTCGCATCACGCCTCGCGACGAGCCCGGCTTCTCGTACAGCGCGGTGGGCGATGACGCGTGCGCCGCCCACGCCCACGTCACCGCACACCGCGTGCGTCCTGCTCACATGCGCAGCATCGCCGCGCGTCTCGCCCACGAGTGGGAGGCCGACGTGTGAGTATTTGTGGGGGTGGGGCCCCGGTGCATGCGTGGTGGGATAGGCTTGGGAGTTGTTGGTGATGGAAGGGGGAGGAAGGGGTTGGGGTTTTATAGCACACTAGCGACTCACCATTCACTTGCTTCCCCATACAAACTTTCATCTCCATTTTCACACTTTTAAGGGATGATTTCCGAGATAAAAACAATCTTTTGTCCTTTCTAGGGTCTCAGACTATCTTCTTACCAAATTTCATCTAAATCGGTTCAGTAGTTTCGGAGCTTTTTGGTACAAACAAACAAATCTGTCCTCTTTATAATATTAGTATAGATAAGTAAATATGTGTAATGATGGTTGGGAGAGTGGGAAAGGGGGGTGATAGTCTCGTTTGTGTAAGGTGGTGGGCTTTGTTTTGATTGTGAAAGATTTGTAGTATAGTAATGATTATTATTTTCGTCTGGAATTATAATCTTCAATAATAATTATTACTGAACGATTGACGGACATACCTATGTCAGATAAAATTTTTAAAACAGAAAATATATGGTCTAATGTTTATTTTATCAATTTGATTTGAATTTTTTTTATAAAAAAAATACTTTGTCCACAGATGCGAAAGGAAGCGCCTCACTCAGGTAAGGAAGGAGCGGTTAAAACCAAAAAAATCGATAAAGAGACCTCTTCGACAGTCACTCACATAACTACGAGCCTGTTTTGTTTCAAATATATCCTTAGTCCTAAAAGAAATTAAAAATAAACATGTAGGGATTTTTATGAAAAAAAAAGGATTTATAAATCGATTTTTAGCTATTGGTGTGAGACAGTTAATCTTTTCCAATAAAGGGATAATAAATTTTACCCCTTTATTAGTAATTTTGAGGATTTTTTTTAAAGATTCGATCAGTGTTTTAAAATATAATCTTTTGAAGAATTTCTTTCTGTATATTTTTAAGTTATCGTAATTTTTTGGAAAATAACCGCGACTGGCCGCTATTTTAAAATGGAACAAATTAAAACAACAAGCGTAAGCAGCAGTAAGCAATAAGTAAGCAGTAAGCGTAATTTTAACTAGATATGTATATTCATTTTATAGATCAGATTATTTTGTTTTTTTTTTATAATATCTTTATTATACATTAAACATGAATGACCAATATATTTTTTTTTAATGAAATGTCACTGCAATCAGTGTAAACAATAATTATGTGTAAATGTATGAATTTTCATTTCGAAAATGAAAAATATATAACTTAATCTGTTAAAACGTTGTGAATTTCAATAATAGATCTGATTTTTCTTTTTTTTCCCTAGTATTAAATACTTTTTGATATTGCCTTTTTATTATCGTTACGAAGAAATGGGTCCTTAGAATTTATAGGCTTGTGATTAGTTTTAAAGTAGTTTATTATCTTTTTTTTTAACGGTTTGGATGTTAATTGTTTAGCGGTTATGGTAATTGTGACAGTTTATCATGATTTAATCAAAATCATAATAAAAAATATTGTTATTATTATAGTATTTGAGGTTAGAATTTATAAAAATGCATAATTATGATCGATTGTTACTTAATGCCCTTTAATAATGTAAATTGTATTGTCGAATAATCGATACTTATATGCGTAAGTGGTCTAACTTTTGCAAATTAAATTCACTTTCACTTATAAATTGCATTTTCCATAGCAACCAATTATTGTATAGGGTACTAGCTACTTCGTTCGGGTGCGTCCCGACGTAATTTTTTTATGTGAGCAGAACCTTAATTCCTTTTCTATACTAATATTATAAAGAGGTTTGTGAGCTTGTGACGTTGTAGGGGATAATCTCTGGATCTACTGAACCGATTTAGATGAAATTTGGTAAGAAGACAGGTTGAAACCCTGGACATAGGATAGGACTTTTTATCCCGGAAATCATCCCTTAAGGGGGATGAAAATGGGGATGAAAGTTTGTATAGGGAATCAACCTAGGGACGAAAAGTAGCCTAAGTTACTCCTTATAACAGGAGCTCTCTATCAGTAAAAGTCCTGTCAAAATCCGTTCAGCCGTTTCGGAGATTAGCTGGAACAAACAGACAAAATATTAAAAATTGATTTTTTTATAAGTACCGTATACAATTTCATATGCATTTAGTAAAAAGCTGTTATTTTGACATTACATACAGACACTTCAATTTTATTTATGCGTATGGATAATGAAATGCGATAAGATTAACTATTGTTTCATTTTATTAAAAGTTAAAAAAATATATATAAAAAACGCGTGTACCTACTTATGTACGCACGTAAGAATTTATACTTCTTTGGCATAACAGAACTAATATAGCTAAAAATTTCATCCCGTATGTCACAACTCTCTGTTTGTAATGTAAAGGAATGCAGCTAACTTCATCAAGGCGCTTTTTGGCTATCGGTGTGCGCGCGCACATCTTAAAAATTTTACTCTCATATTTTTTTTCAAACGTGCCAAAAGAAGTATAACTTCTTATAAAATATATGAAAGAAACCTTCATGTCACTATAAATGTGCCAAATTTTCAGTCGGTTAATATAGACGGAATTAGTAAATTTTCTGTTTCTGAGTTAGGTCACTTTAACGCTATACGCATGTAATACACAAAACTAAACCTTCACCAGTAGACGATAAGTTTCAATTTAGCTTGTAAGACGGTGTGATAGTACTCCTGCCAAGGGTAATATGTTAGGGTGCCTTTCTAATGCGAATATTGTTAAGGATTTAAAATACATTGGTCAAATAAAAAAAATAGAAGCGGAATAATAGGTTATGATATAAATACTATTTGTGTTTAAACATTAATGACGTATTTTTTTTTATTCTGACAACTATTATCAAATAGTAAAAATTAGTTTACCGTTATTTAAAGTGTAGTGACTTAGTACTTGCTACTTTTTTCCCAATTACTTTCGAATATAATATTACTTGATAACAATCACAAAGAGTTGCAAACAAAATACCACTTTAATCCTTATATGTGGCTATGGAAGAGCGAGATTGTCTGTCACAGGTGTTTTGTACACTTAAAAGGCGATCTCAACCTTATTTGTAATTTGTAAACATTTTGTTAATGAATAAAATATTTTTATTTTTTATTTATTTATCCTTTCGGAAAGTTTTATGGATATGAGTTATCAATTAAGTAAAACAGTCTCTTAAAAATTATAAAAACTAATTTTGCATCGAATTTTAGAAGATACCGAATATTAAATGACAAAATGTTTAAATCCTTAACAAGATATATGATACGTAGTATTCCTATAAATAATCATTTAAATTTAATATGATAATATTCACAAAACGCCATTTTGTAGTTAAATACGTAATAGATATATTTTAGATTGTTTTTTTTTGTTGGCCACACAGCTTATTTATTCACTAGTCATTTTCTATCATAGATAGTACAAATGGAGGTTATTTTTATAATTTCTTTTTTTCATTTGCTTTTTCCGAATTTCAGATGAAAAAACCTAGTGGAATATACGTTGTATACAAGTATCTGCGATTACTCGTCTCCAAACATTGCTAAGGAACGTCTGTTTACAGCCAAACCCAGGTAAACAAGTTAGCTTAATTTAAAGAAGGACAATATATTATCTATATTTTTAATTTTTTTTTTAAGTTAATACTTTTAAGGGGTCATAGTGCCATTATTTTACAAATTATATTTTTTTAAACGTGCAATAATAAAATAAATATAATCAAATTATACATATATGTCCATACTAGATATTATTGCTTTTTTATTTCATTTATTTTGTTAACATTTTAATGGTCTTACCTGGTTTTGATTGTAAACAGTCGGTACTAAAATGACAATATTGAAGGCTCGCTAAAGAAAGAAATTATATAACATAATTTAAAAAAAAACTAATAATAAATAATTAAAAAAAAAATATTTTTGTTAATTTACTTTCTTTCTTTAGTTATTACCTAAAAGTGATTTTTATAAAGACTTATTTTAGATTTCTTATTTTTTAATCAGTCTTCCTTTTTTATCTTTTGACATTTTAGAATCGATGTATTTTTTTTTATATAATACATTTATATCAATGTGTTTTTATTATACATTTTTTTTGTATAATTTGACAACATTTTAACTTTTAACACTATTTGAGTTTTATAAAATAAGAAACTTAATTAGTATCTGTGGTTCAATTAATTTGGGATTTAAATATTTCATTTTAAATACGACAATTTTACAGAATTGTATAAGAGTCAGCATTTGAAATGCCCAGTGTGTAATTTTTTTATGTAATTAAAAATTATTATTGGTGAATTATTAATTCATTAGTAATAGTTGTTTAATTAGACAAAAACAAAAAAAAAGTGATTTGCCATTGCCATTTTTGTAATTAAAATTATTTTGTTCAGCATAAATAAATTATTAAAAGTTTTTACTGAACGTCTTAAGTCTACCAGCAGTTCGAAAAGTAAAAGCCCCAGTCCTGAAAAGAACATTATCTGTTGAGATTTTTATTAATTTCCTTCTTTATTGTTTAATTATAAATTATTAGAATCGAACCAACAATAGACAATCTTTGAGAGAGTATAGTTTACGTCGTATGTTAGTTAGTTACGCTTCACTTTAAAAATGAGTAAAGTGTGATCAGCTAATAATACTATCTCAGGTTTGTCCTGTACACAAAGTGGCATATCATTTATATACAAGAAGAAGAGTAAGGGACTAAAAATAAACCCCTTGTGGAACCTCCATATCTAATGGAGCTCCAGGAGATCTCTTACCATTTACATTAACCCTCTGTACTCTATTAATTATTTTAAAATAAATTCAGAAGTCTAGCGCTTTCATTCTAACGCCGTAGTGATGCAATTTTCTGATCTGTCTTAAACTAACTCGATAGTTTGCTCAATTTTTATTTAACCTATTGGAATTTTAACGATAAAATTTATCTTAGATTTAAAAAATATTTTCTTTTTGACTCTTTATATATAATTAAAGACTTTTTGTAACACGAAAGTTCACTTATTTAGTTATTTTTTTAAAATAAGACATTTAGTCACAAAAAATATATACATATTTGTGTAATATTATATATAACTTATACAATTATATTTATTTACTTTATAAGTAGAAGGTGTAAGTTTTCATAAAATCATGATTCTTTTTTAATTCAACCAATCTCAGTTAGATTTTTTAATATATTTTTTTATTAAAAAAGTTAATCAGACTAATTGAAAGTGCTGCTATATACAAGTATATTCCACTACGTTGCTTAACCTTTTTTCATGTCATACATTCATTGATTCTGAGTTGTGACTTTTTAAGCTTTGAACTATTCGCTAAACCCCGTGCCATTGACGTGCGGCCGTCCGCTTAGGGGTTGCAAATCTTTTTCATATTTACTCGTTCTTTGTTTATATCTTTTATGTTGGTTCTTCGAAAATTAAATTATCTATGAAAAAATGTTGATCTAGACACTATTGTACTTTAAAAGACTTTTGCTTTAGGTTATGTATGGAAGAATAATGTTATAATGCTTTAAAATTTCATAGAGAAAAATATTATATGTAATTCGTGGGATTTGCGATATTTAAGGAGTTGTTAGTTTAGGCCTATAGTTAATACGAGGAGATTGTTTTTCATGATTTTCATGGTTGTCACTATCTTACATGATAATAAACGTTTGTACGTTAGACGATTTCTCATAAACTTAATATCTTTATCGGAAACAAAGTTTCCAGAACTATGCATGGGACCTGAAGTGTGTGAAATATCATAGTGGAATAAAAAATGGCCATTTTAGATGTATTATTAAGACACTTTCTTTGTATATCGATTTATTTAATCGTCACAAACGATCATGTCGATTATATAAATCGATATACCGAGAAATGGATTTGATTGTGTATGGTATTGTGTAATAAATGTAAAAATACGTATTTCCGTTTTACATTCTACAATTTCTTTTTTTTTTAATTTAGAATCTCAGCATCCGTTGTAATGCAGCTATTTTATTGTAAAATTGTGTTGTATGAATAAGATTTAATTATTTTAATCACAATCACGGATTGTATTTTTTTATTAATCTATGATTTCCGTAAGCATAGAGGAGTTAATTGTGCATAAACTCATGAAATTAGCCTATTTAAATACAAACCAAGTATAGAACCAACACTCACTGACTAATACGTTATCCATAGGACCACTAAAACTTTAGAAATAGATAACTACAGTTAGCAAACTCAATGTGTCGCTCACACTTTTACTTTCATTTTACAGCCCTAAATGCTTATTTAATTCCTCTATAGTTTATGTACATTTCTGCAATCTCTTTTTCTTTTAAGACTTATTAAAATTTCTGTATAATAGATTGGCTGTGTAATGCCTTACAGATTATATAATATATCAAAATAAATATAAAAGATGAATTATGACAGAATAAATGTAACATTAGTTGCTCTGTATTGCCATAGGTTACATTATGTATGTTGAACATACTATTTGTAGCCATTATAAAGAAATAAGGCACATATAGAAATGGTTCAGGATTTAGGTTTGATTTGTAAATAATGGCAGCTTTTATATGATTTTTTAACGATTTCGTGATGTTACGGAATTTCAGTGTAAAACTGCCACAACTCTAAAAATCATACTGATATGAACTTAGAACATATTTATGTAAGATTAATTTATTAAGATAGTCCAGTGCCTAGCTTTGTGCGTTGTTAGAGGTTTATGCTATTATTAATTATTCTATATTCGTATTATAACTCTATAGTGTGTTGAAAATGGCAATGGAGTTGTGAATATTGCTACGGTAAGAAGATTTTGAGGTAAATGTCAATAGGGGTTGTATTACATCAATTTGTGTTTATGTTTGTGTTAAATAATAGTACTGTGAGATCCCAAAAACAAGAGTTGTTTTAAAACTCAGAATGTTCATCATATTCTGTTATAAATACTAATACAATACGTGCAAATATAACTGGAAATTTTTAACAGTTAGTTAGTTTAACAAACTACTGAGAAAATACGAATAATGTGGATATCTATATTTTTAATAATGGTTGTATGTATGTATTCAGCCATTTTTATCATCCCACTGCTGGGTATGGGCCTCCCTTCAATACGAGGGGAATGATACCATAATCAACCACGCCGGCCAAGTTTTGGGTGGACTTCACATGTCTTTCGAAAACGTGCTAGGTTCTCTCAGACATGCAGGTTAGAAATGATTCGCACATGAGAATATCAGAGATGTGAGACCCGGGATTTGAACGCGCTTCACTTGGTTTCCCAAGCGAGCGTATCACCACTGGGCTACCACTGCATTATAATGTCTTACTTTTAAGTTGTGTCACTTTTGCACTGATAGTATTTTTACTGTATTGGCTAGAAATAGAATGTTCGAAGGGATGTTAAATAATTTCAGAGCCATGTCGTATTTTTTCATATTCAGATTATAATATTGCTGTTCGATTAGCTTTGCCTTATAAAGAGTCCCTAAACGCATAGTGTTCCAACTTGTGATGATTTTTATGAAATAAAACAATCAAATATATTTTAGTCTTTTTTATTTTTGTAACCCAAAATCCAACAATCCCCGTATCTTCTCCATTCTACCATGACATTGGCGAAGGAATCTGTGCTCAACTAGCACGCTTTGGAGCCACTAATAAAAAAAATGAATTGTACTCAAAATCTTTCTTTTATTTTATACATATTATTTAATAGATAAAATTAAAATGTAAAGAGAGTTTGTAATAGCTCTTTTTACCCGAATTCTGTAAAGCCCAAAGGAGGGTTATGTGTTTTCGGTACGATTTTTTTTAAATACATTTTGCTGAGCAGTCCACAGTTTCTAATTTACACGGCTAATGAAATATTAATAATAGCTTTTGTTCTACTTTTATTTGTCGTTTCATTTGAAACTGTAGATGATTTATTAATACAATAAATGGATGCCATCGAGCTGATCTGATGATGAAGCCAGAAGGTGGGTAGTGGAACTCTTTAGTGGCTGGTAAAGCCTTTGAATTTATCCTTAAATGACACTTACGAATCGTACATTGAGATAGGTCTAAAGCTCAAAAATACATAGTAGTAGATACTTTATTTAAGACCTTTTTTGTTTGATGTTTTTTTTTCAATAAAATTACTCTTTTGTGGAGACAAAAGTGAAAATTTGATCTTATCATTTAATTCAATTTCATATAGTCTCATTTTAATGACATGAATAATCTAAATAAATATCTAAGTAAAAAACAAAATTAAATTTATTTTTTATTAATGAAAATAAAATGAAAAGTATATATATTTTTTTAATTTTAACATAGATTTAAAATTTCTTAACCATAATGAAAATGATATTGACATATAATTTTGCTAAAAAACTAATATTGTAGATATATAGTATTTTTCAAAATATCTATTCCTTTTAATAGTTGCATCCAAAATCGCACAGTACAGAGTTAATGTAGTATCGAGCAAGTTGGTTTGCGCGATAAAAGAACGTTTCCCGCTCATAAATATTAAGTAAAGTCAGGTCTTTTGACAGGAAGTTGGCTGTTTTTCGATCTGGAAAGAAAAATTATAGATTTTATGGTTTGGATTGAGTCGTTATTTTAGATATTTATATTACGAAATGATCGCTTTGTTATTTAAATCATATTCTTTTCCACAGATCTAGAGTTCCACAGTGACTCAAATGGAAATATCAACCAATAAAACGCGAGCAACACCAATGTCTAAACGTATAATGTCGTAAGAAAATGTAAATCTACCAAAACATTTTCATGTAAAATGTTGCCAAGACGAGACCATATGGGCTCGCACTGTCAAACAGTTATCAGATATCATGTAGAGCCAAGCTTCTAACTCTACAAGCCCTAACTTCATAAACTCTACACCTTGCTCAAAATATGTGGCTATTACGACAGTTTGTGCTTTCCAAAAAAAAAAGTATAGCTTTCTTATACATGTAGTGGTTTGAAAACAAATTAGTACACTAATAGATTTAATTTTGTTCTAGACTAATATGATTATCTGAACTTATATAAATTCCATAAACTATCTTAGAAATAATATTTCAACATTTAAAAACTCTTATTTAAAATGTGTTACTAAGTTAATTAAAGTGTTTGTTGTATTTAAAAGCAAAAAGAGAAATATCTGGTTTCTGTCAGGCTCTCCAGCAGAGTTGCTCCCTGGGCTGGTCGTAGCTTTCTCACGGACCGACTACACTCCTCTTTAAATGAAGTTGACAATTAGAAAATGATCATAAAGTCTAAAGGAATTAAGTAAATTTTGATGTCTTACCGTTAGGATTTATGTTGAAAATCGGTAATTCAGTGACGTCGGCGAAAGTGAAGGAGGTGCATAGGTCCATTGCGTTGGCGTGCGGTAAGTGCATAGTTAGACGGACCAAAGCTGGGATTTGGGAAAAATCAAAATTGTAAATTGGTATGATACAGAAAACATCTAAAATGATCTATACAGTATCTGGGCTGGAGTTTATGGTTAAAAAAACAATACTTGAATAAATAAAATAAAACAAACAAATTATACTTTTGTATCCGACCGGGATTCGAACCCGGACACCTATGCTTGTCATTCTTGCGCCTTGGCCGCTTGACCGTAATGCTTATGCCCAAATATGCGCAATTATCGACCATATTTTGCGTAGAATAATGCGAATAATTTTAGTTCAAATATAGTATTTAACCCTTAAAACAATTTACTATTTAATTTCAAAATAGACACGTCAATGAGATTTTTCTGATTGAGCCTTATTCTGTCTTATATTTATAAATGTCCTCAACATACGATAGTTCCCGCTAAAGCTGAAACTAAACTGAGTGTCCTCTCGAAGGGAGTAGTGCTGGATGAGCATCCTGGTGGAGGAGAAGTCCAGCGCGGGGCAGTCCAGGGCGAGTACTGCCGCGTCAGAAGCCATGTTAAAGCTGTTGATATGATATATATATTTTTAATATTTCACTTAATTGTAAATGGAACTTTACTGTTAAAAAATTTCATTAAATAGAGTTTAAAATCATCCTAATATGTTTCACAGTATTTTGAATGTAAGGTAGGTTTTGTATATCGGAAAATGTTTTGGTAACAATTTTGTTAGTTTTTGGTTTTACATAAATTTTAATCTTCATCGCATTTTGTATCACTTCTAAACTTCTCATACACCATATGCTATAAAGATACTTACAAAAACTCTGAAACACGACAGTTATTATGATTTTTGATGATCAGATCTTGGTCGATGTAAGTGGCGTTGAAGTACGGCGTGTCGTAGCGAAAGCTTGGGATCGTGTACTCGCTGGGAACGAACCCGCGTACATTCGGGTTGCATTGCGAGTTGATGGCCAGGTTCTCGCGGATACATTCTTTGTTGTGTAGCTTACACGGACGGATGATGTTTGACGGTACTGAAATATAGACCGTAAAGTAAATCGGGAGGCGGTAGAAAGGATCGGTTAGCTTTGAAAATATAACTAACTAATCTATTTAGACTTACAATTTAGATAATAAAAAACCTAAAGATCTAATAAAAAATAAAAAAATCATAATTATTTATGCCTTGAAGTAAAACTTGAACCCAGAAAAATATAAGCTTAGACTAAGAAATAATATAGACAGAGTGTCATAGAACTAAACATGAAGCGAAATAATAATGGTTTATAACAAAACAGTTTTAAAAGTAGGTACCTATACAAATATTAATAGAAAAACTCATTAGGTACTGTTATAAGTAAATAAATGTTAATGAATTGATTTTATTATAAAGAAGAAAAAAGCTAATTTTATAAAATAATGCTGTCTCTCATTCAAGGAAGGGGAATAGTTAAAAAATACAAAAGAATTTTCTTATTTTTCATATGTTCTTCTCAATAATTGTAAATTAACGTATTAAATTAAAACCTATATAAAATTTTCCTTATTCTTCAAAGAAAAAAAAACCGACTTAAAGTTTTTTTTTACAGAAAGTAAAAAATAACTGACTAAAATACTACGGATACCTAATCAGATATTATCGAAGTCAAAGCAAAGCACACCGACTTCGAAAATATCTGATTAGGTATCTATTGTAAATGAAAGCTAATTGGTTATTTTTTTATATATTTTTTGAAGTCTTTATTTTTCTTTTTTTAGTGTAGCCATAGTAGTAGGTAGTAGTACCTATAGTATTATGTTATCTGTGGTAGTAGCAAAGTAAGAAGAAAGTATTTTAATAAAATATTCGCATAAGCATTGCAAATTAGCTTGATGCTAATTGTTATATGAAAACTGACAAACTAAAATTCGCTTTTATTAGTAACATTAAAAACTTAATTTACTAGATCAAAGGTTCATATATATGTATAAGTATGTATGTTTATACTTACCAGCTAAACACGCTGTAACCGTTAGAACAGCTATTAGTGTTTTAGTCAACATTTTAACCAAACCACCACACAGAGCTCGTTGATATCACTGGTCGTAGAAAATTAAGCAGAAACAATTGATTATCATTGTCCTTATAATTCAAAAGATATAATTACTATTTGTTTTGTCGCACCTGAGCAAATTGATGAATAATGCAAATTGTTTTTGGAACATTGGGAAAACATGCTGTTTTACATGGATTCACTTGCGTTAACTTATAAATTAAATTAATAAAAACTTTTTAGTAAAAAAAATAAAACTGACTTCAAAAAACACTAAAAAGTAATAAAATAACTAATTGGTAGTTTTCATTTACTACAGATACCTAATCAAATATTGTCGAAGGCGCTGTGCTTTGATTCGTATTCGCTGGCACCGACTTCGAAAATATTTGAAAATCATCAACGTTCAAGAGACAAGAGTGCTTACGTAATATTTAACAAAATCGATGATAATCGTGAGGAGGTTAAGTCCATATTGAAATTCAGTCCAGTAGGAACACAAATTGTGTTTCAATACAATATCTATTAGAATAGATAGAAAAGTTACTAAAATATATGTTTTTCTTTAAAAATCATTAACAATAATTCTACATCTCTTTTCGAGATATTCTCTAATAAAAACTTTGTCTATATTTCTAATTTGATTTACTAATAAAGCAGCTATAAACTACAAGAAGCTCTAACAAAGGATTTCTCGATATTATTCTATATTCACGGACAAACATATTGGTTTATGTATAGATAAATATAAGTATGTATTTTCGATACAGCTTTCTTTGTTTTTCTGTCGACCGAATTTTGCAAATATAACGTGCGTAGTCTCATCGAGCCAATGCAAAAGTTAAACTGGCTTAACTAAAATTTTAAATAATAAAAAAAAAACTAAAATTATAATACATAAATTTATTTCGTGTATCTCAGAAACGGTTCACACGATTCGGATAAGGTTTTGCTTTTTAAGTTTATCTATTATAGGCGAATTTTCTGAAAAAACGCAAATGTTATATCTATACCGAAAAACATCGGACGAAATTCGGTCGCCCAGGTACTGGCGTGTAGTGTCTTATATACGATAGCTTATTACAATTTGATTTTGTAATCATTCTCTTTCTCATCTTTTATTTTCTTGGCGACTTACACAATTTTTTATCTAAACAGTTCAAAATATTTAATATAGGTATTTTATTCAAATAAACTTGTTCTAGCTCTACTGCGTATAAGAAAGACGAACAAACACATACAATGAAATTTTTAGTTAGGCCACTTTGCATTGAGAGTATCACTTATTGTTTCTAAAGGTATTTGTTTTTAAACGGCTCTAAATTACTGTAGGTTTTTGTTCTGACGTCCTTTTCCATTTTTGTATAATAATTGTATATCATAACATGTTGTTGAGCTTATTAAAGTAGATCACGAGTTCATTCTCGCTCGAGGCAAACGTTTGGATCTTAGATATCTAAATCTATATGTATAAAACAAGGTCGGGTTTGTTACAACACTTATAATTCAAAAACGGCTGGACCAATTTTTATGATCTTTGTTTTCTTGGATTTGTGCTCACTCCGAATATCAGAATAACTATTAAAACATTGGAAAAAAATCACGATGAATAAAATTGATAAAAGAAAACTAATCCATACTAAACGTCAAAACGTACCTAGGGACGAACCTGAGCGAAGTGAGGGTGAGTCGCTAGTTATTTATGAACTAGAGACATACGTCCCTAAGAACGCGGTAGTTTTTTTAGCGAAAGCCTTATTCTTTTTCTAAAATAGAAGTAGCCTAAGTTACTACTTATAACATCAGCTGTTTGCCAGTGAAAGTCCCGTCAAAATCAGTCAGTCGTTTCGGGAGATTAGCCGGAACAAACAGACGGACAAAAAATTAAAAAAAAATGTTTTTTATAAGTATCTACTGTACATACTTTCACATGCGTATAGAAAAAAGTTATTGTTTTGACATTACATATAGACATTTATTTGTATTATTATTTATATGTATACTTAGATAAATTAGTTTTACCTGCGACTTTGCTTTTGTACAGGATATGACAAGCCTTGTATCTATCTCTATTCTGCATCTATATGATGATAGACCAACATCACAAAAGATCAGCTTCTATATCCATCCATACTGTATTAAATACGGAAGTAACTCTGTAGACCGATTTAGATGAAAATTGATATGATGATAGTTTGAGATCCTGGGAAGAATATAGAAGTTTTTATCAGGGAAAATATCTCTTAAAGGGGTGAAAAGGGTGGTGGAATAGATTGAATGGGGAATTAATCACTTCTCATTCTCATCTTTTTTTTTAAATACCTAATTTTTTACAACTATGTATGTACATCCATACTAATATTATAAATGTGAAAGCACGTAAAGCCGTCGGTCCTGCGCCTTAACTCTCACTGATCGTGTCGAGTGGTCGTCCCACCGGAGTATGAGAGTGACAGGAATAGAGAGTGCACTTGTGTCTGCGCGTACACTTGTGCACTATAATATCTCCTGCGCAGTTGGCTAGTCTCAACGAGATTGGCCGCCGTGGCCAATATCGGTCAGGTGAACATCATTATCATCATCATAAATGTGAAAGTGTGTTTGTTTATTTGTTCTTCTTTCACGTCGAAACCGAGTGACGGATTGACATGATTTTTTGTGTGGAAATTTTTACGGCGGGAGATTATCTTATTCCCACGCGAAAACACGTTAAACAACAATCCAAAAATGAATGAATTACTTGAAACTTGGTATTAATGCTATTCACTAAAATTAAATAAATATATGCTTTAGCATTTTTTTAAATTCATCCTATAAGTGGGTAAAAAAGGGGATGAAAGTTTGTATGAAACTACCTTTTTAGCGATTTTTTTGTAGTTTTAGCACGAGCGAAGCCGCGGGTTCTGCTAGTAAATATACATTATATGGGTAGTTTTTCGAAAATCTTATTAAAATAGTCATTATTATCGATACAGAGGCCGAATCTAGAACTTAGAATTTTTGTCTGTTTGGCATCTTCATCTTGAGAACACCACTGGATAGATTTTAATGAAATTTGGTATGATAATAGCTGGTTATCCGGGTCAACATATAGGATACTATTTTTACTGTGGGAAAATATCTCATCTCTGAAAAATCTATACTAAACGTTAAATTGTAATATAAAATATTTGAGTTTTCTTGTGTTGTCATCTTGGGTGGGAAAAGCGTTGTGTTTTGTTTTATGAATGAATGAAATACGTAATTTCTTTTCGTATTAATGTTGTTTTAGACTTTACTCTCTGTACAATAAAAATTGTGTGCCCTTACATCGGTTAAGCCCGGAACATAACCGATTAGGCCCGGAAAACGGTATTTGGCAAATTTAGGTTCCACGGTCGGAATTAACCGGTTAAAATGAGTTTTTGTATACTAATACTTTTCTTACTTATCAATGATTTAGCAGATTTATTTTGGTATCAAAATCTAATCTTTCTTTAAGAATAAACGTTAACCATTATTATTTCGATTTACCAAACCGTTCGTTTTTAATAACCGGTTAGTGAACGAGCGCTTAACCATTACCGAAATTAACCGTTTTTTTTTAAAAAGACCGGTTTCGACTGGTTTCTGGTGACAAATAAATAAGGCTAGATAAATAAGTAAAACACAAATGGCTTAAAAATCATTTTAATTATAACTATTATACATTAATGATAATATTCAATATTAATTGTTAAATAGTCGACAGCGAACACACGCACGCACCAAGCGTTACTTACAGTAAATGCAACTAACACGCTGTATAAGAAAATGTACAGGGGTTTGAAAATGTTTAATTAAAAAAAATGAAATAAATGCACTTTTTAAATGTAACATGATGAAAGACCTAAAATGTATGATTATTGCAATTTTACATGGTGTCGCTAGATTAAATAAATGCTATTTATTTTGAATTAGAAATATCTCTTTTATATCCTAAGTTTTGTCTTATAACAAAATACGAATAAAAAAAATAAAAATTAAAAACAGATTATAAACCCCCATACAAGGACATGAAAAATATCTTTGGTGTGTTATATTTTTACAGACGATAAAATAAAAATTTATTATTTTAAATTTTTTACTGGTATTTTTTTTAATAATTCAATAACTGTTGATTTTAAAGCCTTAATTAAAAAAATAAAATAATAAATTCTAATTTTAGTATATCCTTTTTTATATTACTTTATACAGCGTGTTACCATTTATTATACATTTCATGACACAGACAAAAAAATAGATTAATTATGATTATTTAGTTTTAAAATGAAGTTTTAGGTGGTAACCATTAAAATTGTTTTTTATCTGTGACATAAAATATATAACAAAAAAGTAGACAGACTTCAATTTCCACACCAATTGTTAATCAAATGCTAACATTATATAAGAAGCATCGTAAAAAAGGAAAACACTTTAAAATAAACAAAATAATCGATTATAAATAAAAAAAAACATTTTGTGATGTTTCATAATTAAAAAAAAGTCGTCGCAGTAGATAATAAAATAATCCTTGAGATTCGTATTGTCATTGAAATCTGTCTACAGCCGACCGTACTTTACTCAATATATATGCATCTCTTTCTCGCATAAGCATTCACTGTTGCCGTCCCTCTCGCATATACAGACAAACAAATCATTAGAAAGAGATGAATAGATGCCAAGTGACGTACAGCATACAAAATGTAGATAAAAGATTAGTCACTAATAGTATTAAAGCGTTACAAATGAGAATGAAATATAATAAAAAAAAATTGAAAAAAAAAATATTTTCAGTGATTTTCGTAGACGCACGTTACATTTTTAACTTGACCGTGTATAAATTTAATTTAGGAATTTTGGTAAATTTCAAAACGTTATAAATACACCATATACATACGTATATTTCGTAAAGATATTTTTAAATTTTCCTAACACCGGACCGAAAATAGGAGAAACTATAATTAAATTTATACATGATGTTACAAAACCTACAAAATTTAACACATTACTGATATCGACAATTAAAAACGTCAACTAGAAATCACAATTAAATATCAACGAATGAGACGGACACAGTGTTACACACAGATTATATACAAGCAGAAAAACATAAAAAAAGTAAATGAAAAAATCAAGAGCTCCCATAAAAGAGTATACATACGTACATATATAAAAAATGTACAACAGTGTGACCGTACACAAAAAATTGCAAGTTTAAAACATTTTCAAACATACATTTAGTTAAATCACGATCCGCCAAGCGTTGCGACAAACAAAAAAACAGATACATATATAAATTTATGTACATACAAACCAACCCACTGTTTGAAGGGACACTAAAAAGGCTTTATTTAACTACCCTCCATGACTTAATTATAAAGAAAATTTTCGAATACAAACATAAACCACATACAGACTTCAATCGGGACTCGAATCGACTAAAAGTTGTTACGTTTTCGATGCAGTATCCCCTAGTAAAGGAGTATTATTTCAACACAACGTTTAATCGACAAAGGCACGAATTCGCTATCGAAAAACAAAAGGAGACCATGAATTAATTGGAATGGATCTATGGTATATATATAGAGAGAAAAAGAGACAATGCTATACGAGCGAAAGAAATAGATATACTTTTGTTAGTGTCTTTCTAGAAACGTCTCTATCAATTATTTTTTTATTGACAAATCTAAGTTTATTATATAAATATAAGACGCACATTGTACTAAAAAAAATACCTTTAATTAGTATTTTTTTTATTTTAAACGAATTATTTAATTTAGTATAATATGCGTTAATCGTTATTACATTTCGACATAGAGTTTCGGAGTTATACAAAACAAATGTCGCTACGGACCTTAGAAAGGTGAAAAATGAATGAAATCGATCTAGCCTTTAAAAAATTAACTGTACACTACGTTACTACATTGCTTGTTTTGCTATCGCTACATATTGGGAAGTACAGATAACAAAAAAAATATGACCAATTACATTGAAACATTACAAAAAATAACATGTTTTGGTACTTTTTATATAAAAAAAAAATTAGCCCAGTATGTAGCGATAGCATATTAATTTATCAATTATATATTATAATATTATACGCGTGCTTTAGTGAAGGAAGTTAAAGCACGAAAATGTGTAAACAAAACAGTCACAAATTTTATATTTACACGAAATATTCATAGATAAAAATTCTTAAAATTAAATAAATTCTGAATATTTAAAAGAAATCCTAAAAAAAAGTAAAAATTCAATTAAATGGAAAAAAATCAAATTTTTTGTCAAGCTTTTATTGCAAGTAATATGAGCGAAAAATTTAACTAGTTTGGTAATATAAATAAATGTACGTGATGTATGTAAAGACAGGTTGATTTTATATATACTATTAACATAGATAATAATTTGCGACTGTTCTATCCGTACATCTCAACCCTCACATCAAAAGCTTTAGCGAAGCTGAATGAACTTTTGTGATATTATATAAACCGTTTTTAACGGATTTAATAAAAACTATACGAAAAACACCATTTAATACGTAGATAATATAATTATTTTGACATTATAAAATTATTTTAACTTTTAAATTTAAAATCCTTTTAATTCCATTAAATCCGTTAAAAAGATTAACGACATATTAATTAATTAACGTAGACAATTTCAGTGCGTTTCGAGACAACGTACACTTATCCACTAAAGCGATTTCGATGGTGTTGTGATTATTTTGTAATGTTCACACATAAACCAAATCAACTTTTCTGCATATATAATAAAAATATATAAAATTCCGTCCGTCTGTTGACTAAATAAGAAATAAGTATTATTTAAATTAGTATTAAATTGTGGAATAATTTTTCCAACCAAAAAACGTCCACTTCTTCCAAAAATATACACATAATTTAAAATTTAGTATAATTTAGAAAACAAAATGTCTTTTTTGTGATTAATCAATTAAAATTTTCCAACAAGAATAATCACACCACCTTTAAATTTACATAATCGCGACATATATATAAAATTGTATGTATTTTACACGCCGTCTGTCCCTCACATGCGACACTCAAGTACGTCCTAATTTGAGATATAATAAAATTTGAATGACTTTAGACATTTAATGTTATATATAAGTATATTTTGTCTATTTGTTTATCAAGTCGTAACAGGGAAATGAATTTAAACGATTTTAGAGTGTTTTCATAGAAAGAGATATTTATATTTGGTTGGGTTTTTGTTTGGTAAATGGTTACATTTTTCGCCATACATTTATATTTAAGTATGAAGAATAACATTCCACCCGTAAAGGCGGAATAATTTTAATTAATTTAGTCAGTTAAATATTTTAAGAAAATATTTCATTCATTTTAGAGATCATTTGGTACAAAAAAAATGATATAAAATAAACTAGCGACACACTCTCGCTTCGCTTCGGGTAGTCCCTAGACAAACATTAATCTATCCCATGGGACGTACATTTTTTTTGGGACGATAATATATAGCCTATAGCCTTCCTCAATAAACGGGCTATCTAATGCGAAAAGATTTGTTCATATCCGATTAGTAGTCCTTAAGATTACCGCGTTCAAACAAACAAATAAACAAACTCTGCCTCTTTATAACATTAGTATAGATAATAATACATTTAATTTCAAAAGAAAGAAAACATCTCACTATCGTTCGGGAATAACATGTATAGTTGACACCATACAAGTTTTTAAATAAATGTATGTATGTCTGAAATCATTCAAATTTCTCAACACTCCTGTTTGACATGAAATTTGACTTTTATTTTTAAAAAACCACGTCGAGAATGTTCCAATTTTCCTCTAGCATTTTCAAATCATAGTTAAAACGATATATAGTGGATTCACTAACCTTATTCCAACACATACTAATGTATATATAAAAATAATTTAAATAAATATATATACTTTGTTTGCTGGTTTTGATGAAACTTTAACAATATTATAGTACATCAGTATGGAATAAAGTTAGTGACCCAATTATTTATTCATAAGTATTTTACTTGTACCGTCGCAGTTCCGTTTGTACAGTCAGTCAAAAATATATGTATGTAATATTTTAAATAATGTAATAATGGTAGAATGAAAAAAAATCTTGTAGTTTATTTTGTATTTTTTCTCCGACTGTACTTTAAAGGCATTCCAATATACCTTATAGTCTAAAACTGTGAAATGCTAACATACTCAATTTTAAAAGTTGTGATACAAAGTAACAGCGCTGTGTCAAGTGAAATTATGAAAAATCGATTTTCTATATCGATTTCATCAGTTAGAATTATTTTTACAATATTTTAATTTCTACCCTTAATGTCAAGGGAGGAAGGGTCCAGATTGTTTTTTTTGTCAACTTGCAAGGTTCCTTTTTCCTTCAACATAAGATAAGTGGTAATCATGTTGGAAATGATTCGCCCATGAAAATATCAGAGGTGCGTGACCCGGGATTTTAGCCCGTTTTAATTGGCTTTCAATGCGTTACCGCTAAGGCATACTGCTATTATAATGAAATTAAAAAAAAAACAGTATTAATATTTTAAAGTGTTCTTGGAGTATTTGTCAACCACATATAATTATTCATAATTATATTTTTAGATGTACATTTACGAACAGTATCAGTTTCAATCATAAAAAAAAGGAAAACATTTAAGACATTTAACACAGCACGGTTTTTTTGAATAATAAGAAATTTGGCGAGTTTTTAGATATATACATACATAACTAGATCCATTTTTATTAAAAAAAATACATTTCACGCACAAGCGCTTCATCACGCAATACCGACATGTTTGTATGTACGATCATATATAGTATACTATGTAAGCGTTACAATAAGCCTGTATCGATACTGATTCGATTATACACATCACTTACATTGCACGTGCGCGATATATTTACGCCGACTTTTACATGTAACACGATTGGTAACCGCTAACCAAAAAAAAAACACGAATAATTATTCTCAATGACTTGTCATAAAAAGCGATTATTACCATAATTAACAAGCATAATATAAACATATGCGGTAACATGTTACCAACTTGGCCACACGTTATCGCAATTGCTCGACGTTACCACCGTGGCTAGACGTTACCGCGTGTTACCAGTCGGCTATTCTACATATGGGTGCGCATATCAGTCGGTCTGCGTGCTGCGCGAGGCGCGCCGCGGTCGCCGCTACGAGGGCGGTGTGCCCTTCACCGCCTCTTCACGTTGCTTGCTTATGTATACCTGCGTTGGATGGTGTTTTGCGTGTTAGTTTTGTTGAAATAACGTGTAACATTTAAACTTGAGCGTTTTGTCTTGTTTAATTTTTGTATTTCTTTCCATATGATTCCAATTATATTGAGATGATGATTGAAAAAAAATAACAGAATATCATAGTTTTAATTTTTTTAGCAAAAAAAAACATTATTTACAGCTAAGTCATCATATCAAATTCCTTTCTAAATAATTGACATTTAAATAAAAACTATTATACGTTTTCTTTAGGTTTTATGTCGATCTTTTCGGTTACCAAGGATCAAAAATAAAAAAAAACGTTTAAAAATCCTTCAAAACCCACGATGGATTCCGCATCCCCACCCCTGCCGTCGGGTTGATCCACTCACCTGCAACAGCCTGAACTTGCTTACGGAGAGATGTTTCAGATGCGGCTTCATGCGCTCCTCGCCGAGCGCGAACGTGAACGCCACCATGCAGAACACGGCCGCCTTGCGCACCGCCGAGTTCTGGTGGTCCGCCAGCTGTTGGGGAGTAGGTGGTGGTTACCGTGAGATTGTGTCAAGACTCGAATCGTGTTACAAGTGACGTGACCGACAATGGTAGTTGTAATAATATTGTCCTTCTGACCAATTATATACCAAAACTGAAAAATTATTAAGGGGGGATGGTCTTTGGTGAGATTAAGTGAGTTTTGGTGGAGACCGACAAGAAAAAAAGTTATTTTTTATTATCTGTATAATATATATTTTGTTTTAAAGTTACCAATATCACTCCTTCACTGGCCAGTAAACTACCTATACAACAACAAAGTCCTTAAAGCATTTATGATATTAATTTAAAACAAAAAACAAAAGTGTTGGGAAACATCTCATCTCTCACCATCCACCCCTCTACATACATACACATATAGGCACATACAAACACACATACCTGGCCGACCCCCTCCATGAGTTGTGCCACGATATCATCGGTCAGCTCCGGTGCTCTCGCTTTGGCCACCTCGGCCGCCAGCTTGAGGGCGCACAGCGACGTGGGGTAGCCGCGTGTCCTTATCACTGGCTTGAGGAGTGCTAGCACCTGGATATGTTATTGTTATCATTATAATTCAGACCTTTTTATCTCTTCTTCATCTTATTTGTTAAATTATTGAATTGAAAGATGCCTTTATAAACTAAATATGTAAGTATCTTTATAAACGGACTTTGGTTGTTGGTTTTCTGGCCATGTATGGCGCTTGTGTTCTCTCTAATATCAGATTGTACCAGTAATGTTGTTTTTATTCGAAATAAATATATGTATGTTCAATATTGTTTACATCAACACCAGCGCACCGAACACACACATGTGTACGGCGCCTGTACCTCACGTACAGGATGATGTGGGTAGTGTGGGGGATGGGAGTAGTGTGGGGGTTGGAGGTAGTGTGGGGATGGGGGTTGTGTGGGGGTTGGGGGTAGTGTGGGGGGTGGTTGAGCTCACCTGGTGCGCGGGCAGAGCGCGCGCCACGTGCGGCATGCCCGCGTCCACGGCGCGCATCACCTCCTTGCTGAGCGCGTACGCGTTGACCAGCTTCAGCAGGATCAGGTCGAAGTAGTCCAGCCACAGCGCGCGCGTCTCCGGGCGCCTGCACAGCCACACGAGCACCTTCACAGCCTCCGCCGCCGCGCGCTCGTGCGACGTGCCCCAGCCTGTACAAATTGATGTGTCTGTTTGTAATATCTAAATATCAGCTTTTTATTACATGCATATGAAATTATATATGGTACTTATAAGAAAAACTCAATTTTTAATACTTTTGTCTATATGTCTGTTTGTTCCGCCTAATCTCCGAATCTGCGGGACTGATTTTGACGGGATACGGGACGGGACTTTCACTGGCAGATAGCTAATATTATAAGGTGTAACTAGGTTACTTTTAAAAAAAACACGTGCCACCGTGCGTCCCTCGTCCCCTAAATCGCTAGTACGAGTATATCATAACTACTATATTGTATTTTATATATTCTATCACAGAGGAAATTATCAACACAAACTAAATAAATGAATTCATATAATAAACAAATATTATCTCTAGAAATACCAGTCAGATAAAAAGATATTTTTTTTACCATTTTAAAAGCTATGAGGTGAATTATTATATAATTATATCTTATAACATTAAATGAGCAATTCTTGTATATATATTTATTTATAAATTAATTTCGTGTATCTCGGAAACAGCCCAAACAATGTGGATCAAATTTTGTATTTAGATAAGGTTTAGCTTTTCTGAAAAACCGCTTGTGGTACTTGCATTGTTGAAGCTCACTCGCTTAGGTATTAAATAAAAAACGTGAGCAGAACCGAGAACACACATTAGTATTAATATAAAACATTATTCTACCAGAACATTGTTGTGCGTTTGTTGCATTTTCAGTGTTTTCTTTGTCCGCTGCATTCTCATCTATAGATAATGCCGCTAATGCCACTCGGACGATGTTCCTGAAATATGACATAATAAAAATATACAATGTACATTTTATTTAATTTTAATTCATTGTTTACATCATCATTGTGAAAAACTAAAAATTCTTGAGCTTATATATAAATATTAATTTACCATCCCACCGATTGTTCTAATCCTTTAACCGAAGGTTAAATGTAAGGGATTTGCTCATAGCAACTAGACAGTCTTTGCATGCATTTTGGTTCTTTCTCTTTCTTATAATACTTTCTTAGATTTACGTGAATATTTGACATTTTAAACAAAGCTATCCTTTTGGATATTTTCGCAGATTTATTTTGATTTTGGAAAGACTAAGATTTTCAAAAGATACAAACTTGACGTCATTTGGTATTTTTTTCGAAATAATATTATAATTTTGTGAGTAGGCATTGTCTGTAACAACTATATGATTTTTGAGACATCCAAAACCTTAATCTCCTCTCTCATCGACCATTATCTCGGCGACCATCTCTATAAAGCATTCAACATATTGAAAACCAAATAGCCAATATAAATCCAAAAAGATACTTTTACTTAAATTTTCACTATCTTTTCATCTCTTGTATACCTTCTGTGTGCACAATAACACAGTTATCTATATATAAAGTAAACTCACTTGAAGTATTCCTGTGGCTTCACACAGTCACCGTATTTGAGCACCTCATGTGTGGCCAAAAGCAGGCGCTCCGTCTGCTCAGGAGTTGCTGTGGCCACGTCCAGCTTGCTGAGGGCTTCCAGCACTTCTGTCTCTCGGAGACCAGCTGTTGGTGGGAATATATGAATATATTAATAATAATTAAAGTTCTTAATAAAATTTCCAGCATTATTAGGTTTTTGGAGACCAGCTAGTGGATAGAAAATAGTACATCTATACAAATAAATAAAATTGAAGTGTCAGTTTGTATTGTCAAAATAATAGCTGTTTACTAAATTCAAATGAAATTATGCATATATGGTACTTACAAAAAACCCACAATTTTTTAAATTATTGTCTGTCGGTCTGTTTGCTCCAGCTGAACTCTGAAACGGCTGAACCGATTCTGACGTAACTTTAACTAGTACATAGCTGATGTTATAATGAGTAACATGAGTTAGTTTTATTTTAGAAAAAGAATGAAAGCCAATGAGATTCGACTAAAGTAAGTAATAAATAAAATTACCAACAGAACAGGAATACTCACACTTGGTAATGATCAGCCCGTTCTCGTCCACCTCGTACGGTTTCACTTTGTCACGCCCCAAGTGTCCCGAGTTGTAGTCACTACCGATGGAAAAAAATGTATATAAAAATATATAAGTGTATGTTTCTCTGTATGTGTGTATGTGTGTTTGTTACACTTTCTCTTCCCACCGAAAACTGCTGGACAGATTTGGGTGGAATTTGGTACACACATTGACTATGGAGTAATACATTTTGACTTGATATACATAAAATGACCTGGAGTGGTACCATAGGCTACTGTTCACTACTTAAGTGACTTCACATTTTGCTATTACCATACAAAATGTATGGGGGAATCGCTTTTTGACAGCTCATGAAAAGCATGTCAATAGATCGGTGGTGTCCACTAGTCTATTTGGTAATAATCTATACTAATATTATAAATGTGAAAGTGTGTATTAATGTATGGACGTTTATCATTCTTTCACGCCACAACGGCTGAACGGATGCAATTTGGCAAAGAGATAGTCTGGAATAACACATAGGCTATTTTTTATCTCGGAAAAACGTACGGTTCCCGTGGGATAGGTTTGTTTTTGTTTGTTTTGAAGGTGAGCTTCTAGGATACATATAATAGTAACCTGTCAACTCTAACAAAACACGTGTACTCTAACAAAACTGTGACATCACTGATTTGACAGCTCCATGAACTAGTTATAGCATTTCAATGTAACCTAAAATCTAGTTTTACAGATAATCGTAAATTAATCAGGTCTTCAGGTTTAAAATAAGGTTTTTTTAGAAGTTTTAGTCTTTTGAAATCAACCGAATAGTGTCAACTTTTCGTTTTAGTGCTTATTTGTTTAAACCACATTGTGAGTTTGTGACGTTGTAGGGGGTAATCTCTGCATCTACTGAACCGATTTAGATGAACTTTGGTAAGAACATAGTTTGAGACCCTGAGAAGGACATAGGATACTTTTTATTCCAGAAATTATCCCTTACGAGTGTAAAAATGAAGATAAAAGTTTCTATTGGGAAGCGATCGCTAGTTATATAAATTATCATACCCATGTGGTCCGTACTCCAGTCGAGCGTGAGGGATGGGGGACGACTCCTTAGTACTGCTCGCCTCTTCAGAACTGTCGGCGGACGCGGCACGAGCTATCATGTCTCTGGAAGTTGATCAAAACGTGTTCAGGAGCTGTATCCCATGGGATTTAGTTGGTGATGAGAGATCCAAGAACTAAGTATTTGGGATTAGCCTGAAATTTTGGGATTTCCCCGATACTATTCCCCAAAAATGGCAAGTTATTTTTTTTAATACTAAGACATTAAATAAATGTTAAATACTGTGCAATATAATGTACTGAAAAGAGAACAAAACTCATTTCCCTTTAATAAACTTTAATAAAGAAATAGTCTCTTTGTAGTTTAGACTTTGTTTAATGTAAAACGGTAGGTAAATGAGCACTCACGTGTTATAATGACCGTTGGGCACGCCGGCGCCATTTTGCCCGCGCGAGAGCGTCGCGTCAGACATCTGACTTATCCCCGAGTCTTTGCTGGACATGTGGTTGCCGCATTCTGCTACAAACATGTATGTTATTAAATACAACCAATATAGTCTTATACAAGCAATTGTGAAACTGTAAAATATTCCGTGAGGTAATAATATAAATTGCTCAACAATATATTATGTATTTATGTATATCTGTCATTTGAATTTGTTTAATGGCAGGCTCAATATCAAATGAAAAAGTGGACAAACTTTTTGGTTATCATTGATATTAGGGCACACCACTTTGCTTTAGATCATACTATCTACGATTTTAGGGCATATTACCATTGATTTTAGGGCATATTAACTTCGATTTAGGATATGTTATAACATATTCACCGTTAGAGTGCTGAGCGGTGTATGTGTGTATCTCGTTGGTGGTCTTCCGTATGCGGGAGTAGACGTCTTCAGCGTTGCTTGAGTTAGAAGTTGTTCTTAGTGGGCTGTCGCTACCAGCTGTGAAGGGATATTTATTTATACGTTATCTACGTTTTAATGTTAGTATAGAATTCTCAGAGTATATGTTGACCCGAATACCCAGCTATCATCATAAAAACAGTCATCAAAATCTGTCCAGTGGTTTTCTCGTGATGCGTTCCCAGACAGACCGACAGACAAAAATACTAAAAACTATAGAACCGACTTCTGTATCGATAATAATGATTATTTCAATAAAAAATTTCCTAAAAATATTTAATGTACAGATTCGACTCACTAGAATTTTATTATAAGTACAGATATATCTTAAAGGCATTTCAATTTCAAAAAAAATATACATTACAAATGTATGTGCAGATTCTGTAGTTTTTTGCTTGTGTTTACTAATCCTAAATGGGTTAGCGTTAGGTAAAATAATGAAAATTACTGTCAAAAAAGTTTAAGTTTCGAACGTAATACACTACGCCCAATAAAAAGTTTTTTTTAATAAAAAACAGTTGTTATTGTTGGATATTCAAATTAATTCTTTGGTCTCAAATTAAAATTTGTAAATTAAAACTGTTTACATTTATCTGGTTTTGACATCTATCGGCAGTCTGAGTGTTAGCGTTAACACGTCACGTGACCATGTCGATAACGACTTACATGAGTTTATTCCCCATCCAAATCTGCCTATAGAAGTTTTCACTTCAAAAAAACAAACTAATACTACATGAAAGTGTTTCCAGTACTAGTGCCTACCAAAATTTCTGACATGTAGATTTCAAGTTGTTATCTTTCACCTTAAGGCAAGTGGTGATCACGTTGGAAATGATGTGCACATGAAAATACTAGAGGTGCGAGACCTGGGATTTGAACCCGCTTCACTTGGTTTCCGATACCTTAGTTACCATAAACAAAAACAATTAAGTACATATATGTATATGAGTACATACTGCTAGAGGTGCGTCGTACATGTTGCTGCACGACGCCATTGACCAACGACTGAGTCTCCGCCGGCAGCTCGGACATTAGCGCTGTGAACTGGAAACAACATTATATATAAATATTTGTATAGACTAAGTAATTTATATCAGTAGGGGCTTTATTTATACATATATAGAAATAAAACATAATAAAAAGAGTAAATAAGCAGAAGTGTAAACTATTATCGTTATTTCGAATTTCATTTCTTTTATATTGATTCAATGCCCAAACAAATCTAATAAACTACAAAATAAGAAAAAAATATCTGTAAGTTTTATATTTATTAATCATCCAGTGCATAACTAGAAGATAAAAAAAACGTCTATTCTGGTCAAACGATCAACCATCGACCAAAAAAAATGAACATAAAAAAACAACAAAAATCTCACCGGCACTGGGTTGCAGTCGTACAGACAGGCGAGAGCGCGGCGCGCGGCGTGGCGCACGTCGGCTGCGCGCGGGTCCGCCGCCAGCTGCGACGTCTTGGCCAGAGCGCGTCCCGCCACGCCGGTGGCGCCACCTGCTCAACACACACACATATGGTATAATTCAATTACATTTATTGTGTACGGTATAAACATACATACAGTATACTAGTATTGTGACGAAAACTTTTATTGTAACAAATTTTTTTATAGGATAGCGAGACCAAAAATAAAACCTCGAGAAAAAATATTTTTATCTAACTCGTGACTAATTGTGAAGTGAGTGACTGAGTGAAGTGAACGGATTAAACGAGTGAAGTAAGCGCGTACGCTAGTGAGTGAATGTGTAAGTGAAATGAGTGCGAAAGTGAAATAAGTAAGGTAGAAAGTATATGTGACAGAACGTGAGTAAATAAGTTAGCAAGTGAATGTCTGAGAACGTTAATAAGTTAGTAAGTGAATGTGTGTACATGAGTGAATCAGTGAAGTAAATAAGTGAGTCAATCATACCGTGCAAGGCGACGGCGAGACTGTTGGGCGTGCAGTAGTCGTGGGCGAGGTCGGCTAGGAAGCGAAGCGCCGCCACCTTCGTCTTAGGCGTGGGCGCGGTCGCACCGTCTGCTAAGAATCTGGAGAGACACAAATGTTTATAGCACACTAGCTACTTTTAACTGTGTAATGGTTAGTATAGAATATAATATATATTTGTACATACATTGGTATAGAAAAGTAAGTAAGTATTTAAAAAAAAACTTGAAATCATCCCCTATATTACCTTGATTGGTAAAAAAAACATCAACATTCTTTATTTCTTACCAAAATTATAGTATATAACTATCCTTGCGGATTTTTACGCGGAACTTATAGAAATAATAAAGATTTAAAATTAACAAATATTGCAAAGTGCTTTACGTTCTTATTTCAACAGATAGTTTTATTTAAAACTCTTCAACTTTACACACTAGTATAGATATAAAACAAGGAGCACACCTAAATATATTATGAAGTTGCAACTCTGCGGGGAAGCACTCGTGTATCACGTCCAATGTCTTCATTATCTTGCTCTGCACCGAGCCAAGGATGTCAGTGCCCAGTTTCATTAGTAATCTGTTGACAAATTAAAAAATTAAATAGAAAAATATATTTATAGAAGGCTTAGAGAAAGGTTAGACTTAGGTTTTGATACCGAAAAAAACCGGTTAATTAATTCATAAGTAAGAAACGTAAATGAATCCTCCTACTAAGCAATTAACCGTTAGCAAACGTTCGCCAAATGTAAACGCATCGGTTTTTACTGATTATTTACCGTTTTTCGTTCGGGGAACCTACATTGGACAAAAACAGTTTTTCAGCTTTTCATCAGTTCCAGAACGTAACCAAAACCTTAAACCGGCAAATGGTTTTTCTGTTTGGGGTAAATGATGAGGCCTGCAGAAGCCTAGTAACTAGAGCTGACCTGAACATCAACTGGTACAACCAGTCCCGTAGCTGATGCCAGTGCACCAGGAGCAGTTCGCACACAGCGTCCAGGAGCAGGGAGAACACCTTGGTGTGTGCGTCCACGAACATCTTGTTGAGGAGTTCCGTTAGCCGCCGCAGCTGGTCTTCCGTGAGGAGACGGCCGCTGTTCAGGTAGTTGGCCTGCGGAGAATATGGTTATTATCTAAATAAAAATAATTCATGTTTTTTTCGGTACTTATTTCTGCGTATATATATGTATAATTATTAAATTTTATAATTATATTTTGCTCAATATAAACAAATAAAACAACTGAAAATAATGGACACAAAAATGCAACAAAATTTATTCGATTCGATTTTAGTAACGTGATCTCCATTTATATTGAAGGGAGGCCCGTGCCCAAAGCCAAAGGGCTAAATTATACATACATAGTAACGAATTAAATCATGTCACAGCGCATTTTAGAATGTGTCATTAATTTCATTTGATCATCTAGTACTGTCTTTGTTACCGTTCTTCCTCTCAATCTGCATTCATGCAGTGATTTTAGAACTCAATGTAAACGAGAATGACAGAGAAAGAAAGAGAAAAATAGATAGAAAGAGAGCGAGAATGAAATATAGATAGACATACCAAATGGGTGAGGCCATCCTTCCTCTCTGTCCAGTGCGTGCAGGCGCACAGCGCGATAATATCGTCGGGCGGTGGCGGCGGCGGCGGCGAGCTCTCCCAGCCGAGGCGCGACCCGGATCCCGACCACGACACGCTCTGAGGAGATAGAGGTGAGATGAGAGAACTATTTAATTATAAAAAAATATATGTTACAAATGAAATGAAAAATGGCGTTAGTAACACTAACTACCAAAAAACGTACAATTTTGTTCATAATTCTATGGGTTATAATTTTTTTGCGCGGAACGTGGTGATTCTTTTTCTAAAATAAAAGTAGCCTAGGTTACTCGTTATAACATCTTTCATATTTCCTAACCCAAAGGTTGTCTGAAAGAAATCGCTAATTAGCGATAAGACCGCCTTTTGTGCACACTTGTATTTTTGATATTTTGTTTACTATATTTATTTCATTACTGTGGTGTACAATAAAATGTATTTACAAATAAATAAATGAACAATTCACTCACATCATGTCGTCGATACGAGTCGAGACTCCTTTCCGAGCAGACGCTTGAAGCTTCAGAGTCGTCGTCTCGTCTCCCCTCGCATGCAGAGCTATCTTCTGGGCTCTGGTGGTGAGAATTATCGTAAAAAGTTAGTAGTCCTTTTTTTGGATTTTTTCATGGTAGAAAATAATAGATTTATATATTATTTGACTTATAATAATAGTGTATTTAAGCTTATGGAGACGTATTTATTTATTTTAACGTATATTTTAAATATTATTAAAAAAAGTAATGTTAGTTGTGTTGACTTAAGCTCGCCATTTCTAATATTCTATGACATTAAATAAAACAGTGTTAGAAAAAAACGCACTACTGCCAGCTTTGGATTTATCAATAATTTGAAATTTCACACTAACAATGTTAACACATCTCAAGCATTAATATTCCAAAAATAAGGACTACCAAAAACTACCAATGGTAGAAAATGGTAGTTTTCCCTAAACACATCAAACTCACTCTGAGTGTTGCCTCAGCGTCTCTGGTCTGCTGTAAGAGACGCAAGGTGGCAGCTGGGGCTCGCTGAGGCCTCTCCATGGACTCCCGACGTCGCACACTCACTGCTCCCGCCACACTACTTGATCGTCCGGTCCTGCATATTGATAAATAAATGTATTTATGTATTCAGCCCCTTTTAACGTCCCACTGCTGGGCGCGGGCCTCCCTTCAATACGAGGGGGATTAGGCTATAGTCCACCACGCTGGCCAAGTGCGGGTCAGATGTCTTTTGAAAACTTGCTATGTTCTCTCAGATGTTTTCCTTCACCGTAAGGCAAGCGGTAATCATGTTAGAAATGATTCGCACATGAAAATATCAGAGGTGCGAGACCCGGTATTTGAAACCGCTTTACTCGTTTTCCCAAGCGAGCGCGTTACCACTGGGCTACCACTGCCTCAATAAATAAATATATAGATCAAATAATGTGATACCAGTACAGATGCCTCATCCCATACAAAGAAATTGGGTAGCGCTAATTCGGGCTATTCTTCGTCCTATTTTTGTTCGCATGAATAGTTAATAGATGGCGTTATGCGCAAATAATTAAACTGATTTATTTTATAAATGTGTGCAAACCAACGACCACTAAGCCCAATAGACACCTAATTTACGTACTTCTGCATCCAAACTTGTCAGTCAAAAGTCTGAGGTAAGCGTCACAGGGGAGGCGAGTTGAAATGCACGCTGATTGGTTAATTCAATACAAATAGTGATGGGAACCAGAAGTTTTATATCGTATCGTAGGTAGGTATCGTATTTAGTAAAATAATTTTCTGTTTTAAAGAATATTTTTAATTAAGACAAGTTTTCTTTACTATAATGAAATAATAATGAAATACTTAATATTAGTTATACAGGCTTATTCAAGGTTTATATACAGGTACATATATCCTTGGTTAAAGTTTTCGGAAAGCTGTCCCTTACACTCTGTATAACTAAACTACTACTTATTTGCATGAACTTATTATTTATAAACAAAAATACATTAGGTACTTATTACAATTATTTATTCTTTACATTTAGTGTATATAAATATTCATGAATTAAAAGTACAAAAATAATAATAATTATTATAGATAAATGTCATAATACAAAAGAAATTGATAATAATACATAATAATAAGAAGCGAAATTAAAATCATCATTATAAATAAAAAAAAATACAATAATTAAGATTAATAATCATGCATTTTATAATAATTAAATAACTTATATCTAAAAAAATTATAGTTTAACTGGTACAGCACTACTTATACGTGCCGGTAATTAAAGAAAAGTATAGCAACAATGTACTGCATTGAAGAGAAAGGGATGTATAGTCCGAGAATGTCCGAATACATCAACGCGAGTTGCGTTGCGACCAATATAACTTGAGCTCTGATTTAATTACATTTAATGAATTTGGAAATTAAAATTCACTTACCTATGAAAAGTGATGCCATTTTTTTTAATTATATGTTTGGCTACTATTTCCACATCATTTTATTGTACAGGGAGCCATGTTGCGCGTCTGTTGTATTTTTTGTGTCGGAAATTCACGAGTCTCAAGCAATGTGTTCGCGGGTCACTGATGTGGTCGCTATTGAAGTATATCGCGCGATCGTTTTCTCAAGTCAGACGTATTTGTCTAATGTGTTGACTGAAAGTGTTCGCCTTACGTGAGGTGTCTATTGGCCTGAGTGGTCGTTGGTGCAAACTAACGACTGGTAAATATTGTCAAATTCATTCTGCAGCCAAATAAAAAAAATTGGCACACAATGTTGTGTATTATGCACTCTTTATTCCTGTCACTCTCACACTCCGTTGGGATGACAAGACAAGTTAGAATTCCTTAACAAAAAACCCTCCTACCGTCGGCCCGACTCAGAATTCGAACCCAGGACCCTACATAGCAATTCTACATGCCAGCCACCATACCATACACTCACCTAGTAGGACTGGTCTCCCTCGAGCCGGCTAGAGATCGAGGTATACCAGAAGGACGTCGCCTCGCACTAGACAGCGACATCGGCCCGCTACGCGATGATGGAGATGATGACCGAGATGTGGCTGATGATGAAACAAAAAAGGTACAGATATCATCACCATTTATTAGGGTGTACGTCTCTGTTTGACAACAGATTATAATAATAGACGGTTTTTTGTACAGCGTTCAATTACTACAAGAATATGTTTTGGTCATTCGTATTCAGTTAATGGTTTTCGATATAAAATTTAGAAATTTAAAAATATTTTTATCCTTGTTCTTTCTATTGAAAATGGGAAAGTTCTGATTTTTACAGGCATCTTTTCTCACTTCCCTGGATCTATTTCGTATTATTTCTATTTAATAGTCGATTCTTTTAAATCAAGATCTCTTAAAGAGTCCTTAATGTCGTAAAAAGTCGTCCTTTGTACAGTTAATTATAATAATAAATTAAATAATAAATAAATATGTTGGGACATTAACACACAGCACCGTCTAGTTCCATGGTAAGCTACGAGACTTGTGTTATGGATACTAGATAGTTGATACACTACACATATATAACTTTAAATACATACATATTATAAATATAAACACCCATGACTGGAATACAAACATTCGTGCTCATCACACAAATGAATGCCCCCAGCGGGATTCGAACCCGCGACCGCTGGCACAGCAAGTAGGGTCACTACAAACTGAGCCAAACGTGCCGTCAATTATGTTTTTATATTTTTTTTGTGGTAAATCTATATACATAGGTATAAAAGAAAGTCGTGTTAGTTACACTATTTATAACTCAAGAATGGCTAAACCGATTTTTTATCCCGTTTGACCGCGTTCCCGTGTGACGTGACATAAAACTCAAGAACGGTTGGACCAATTTATATGATATTTGAATTATTGGATGTTTCTTAGTCCGGAATAGGATAATAAGTATTAAAACATCAGAAAAATCAAAATTATATGGCTAATGCTGAAGCGAGGGTGAGCCGCAAGTAAATAAATAAATAAACACTCACGCTGCGATTGCGACACTCCGGGGCGGGACCGGGAGCGACCGGCCGCGCGCTCGGGGCTGGGCGGCACCGCCGCGCTCACCGGCGACCGCTTGGCGCGAGCTGCAATACAATCGCCCATTAAAATAAAGTAATCGATTTTTCTTAAATTTACGCGAATATTTGACATTTTAAATGAAACGCGAATTTATTTTTTAATTTTTGTTCCCGACGTTTCCAATGCTTTACAACAGTCTCTCCCATGACCATGATTGCTGTAAAGCGTTCGAAACGTCGGGAACCAAAAATCAAAATAAATCTGCGAAAAAATTCAAAACATCTTTAGTACAGTAATTTGTCTAGAAACAAATCCACGCTTCACTCGGCTGCGTCCATAAGAAAGAACCTAGCAGTACCTTAGTGCTTATTTGTTCAAACCACCAATACTTGTTATACTTTACAGTAGAGTTTTTTCCTCTATTTCAAAAACAAAGCTTTATTTCTAACATTCATTTACTAACTTAAAATACATATATCCAGTTTTTATTAATACAATGTGTTTTTCATACAAATAGAATTGACAATTAAAAGTGAGTAGGTAATTCTGTTTTAAAAATTCTTTCGTAAGTTTATTGTTTGGACAAATAAGCACTGACGACAAGGTATAGTCTGTATTATTCCAATTCATAGCATATTTGTTTATTAAATTTCATCCAAATTTTCAGCCATTTCAGACTGAAAATAATTAACTAACACTAGTGTTCGCTCAGTTGTCGAAATTTGACCAAAATATTTTTTTATTGATAACAAACTAAAGTTCAATAACTATTCAATAACTACTAAATAAAAAATAAGAAGAAAATCGGTTGACAAACAGGAGGTAAAGAAAGTTAACTGTGTCGTCCTTGCCTATTTATATAAAGAGATAAAGCTGTTAATAACGCTCATAGTTTGCAACAAAGCAAAAGCCTAAAAATTATTTAACAATTGCTCTTAAATATATACTTATACATATACCTATATACATATAATAAAATTGTAACTAAGCCGAATCTGTACATTAAATATTTTTTGGAAAATCTTATTGAAATAAACATTATTATCGATACAGAGGCCGAATCTATACTTTTTAGAATTTTTGTCTATCTGTCTGTCTGTTACCGCATCACAGAAAAACCACTGGAGATTTTGATGAAATTTGGTATGGTGATAGCTGGTTATCCGGGTCAACATATAGGACACTTTTTACTGCGGGAAAATATCACATTTCTGAAAAAAATTCAAAAACTGCATTGTAAGAGTATACTAATATGTAAAACCTAAGAATTTGGTTTTTGTCATCTGAACGCGGGCGGAGCCGCGGGCAATGCTATTTATACGTATAAGAATTAAAGACAAATAAAATCATTTTATATTTATATAAAATTCATGTATATTTTTATAAGTTTTAAATATGACTTTAAATAAAAAAGTTTCACATTAGCCATGAAAAATGATAGACATTAGGTATTTGATAACAGAAAATATTTAAGAAACTTAAAATTAACCATAATATTAAATAGTCATATAAATTTATATAAAAATAATAAACTGTTGTCCGGTAGTCTCATCCAATAGTCCAGTTTTTAGCCCATCCAAACTTTAAATTTCATACCCATCAAAACTAAAAATTCCATAACCCTATTTAGTTTTTCATATTTTCCATAGTCCCTATGCATTATCTGAAGGCCATCTTTGGACAATTTCCTATGTGTTACTGGGAGATGGATCCCAGCTGATGAGTCACATTAAACAAACTTGAATCTTTTAAGGGGCCTCTATGTGTTAGATCTGTGTCCCCACGCAAGCCTTCCAAAAGACCGGACTCCTTCGAGCCCGTGAAATTCGAAGAGATACAAATAATAATAATAATGTCTTTATTAGGAATAAAAATTACATACACCATTTATATAATAATAATTAAATTAATAATAAAAAATAGACAACAGAAAATGTAATGTTGCTATGTACAAAATTAAATTTTGATATATACCTTGTTGTGCGACTTCCCCTTCTTCAGAATGGCATATAAAATATAGATTATATTTATTTTATTATTATAATAATATATTATTAATTATAATGTGAGAAATTTTTATAATTTAATATATAAAATTATAATTGGAAACCGTCCAATGGATAAATAATAATTAATCATGATTCCATAGAGGAGCTATTTTTTAAATTATTAATAACATTTTTAAAATAATATTTTTTATGACAGATCAACAATAATTCTATTTCTATATATTCTTAATTTTATGAGGATATTGTGTGTACAAAATTTTGTACATATGGAATGTATATAAATAAGTTTAAACGGCTCGTTGGTCTAGTGGCTAGCATGTTCTGCGGAAGATCCGGAGCTCCTGAGTTCGAATCTCGTAGTTTTTGTTTTTTCTAGAAAAAAAGGTGCAAATGAGCAGATAATCTATCTGATGGTAAGTGGCTATCGTCTCTCATAAGCCTTTCAGAGACGTAAAAACACGTACGTCTCTTAAAGAGCCCCATATCATAGCTTAGGGAAACCTCAGGATGAATTTTATGTACATGGGTGTGTTATGTACATTTGTTTATGTTTGTATATATTGCACATGTACATATGTATGTACGTATGTGTATGTATGTATGTATGTATGTATGCATGTATGTATGTAAATATGTCTGTTTATACTGACGTAGGGTAGTAATCCTTGCGGTGAGTTATTTACGTGAGTTTGTTGTATATGTATATATGTACATAGATATGCATGTATCTATGTATGTACATATGTGCAGTACTTACGCAAGCTATAAGTCTTAGCGACCAAGCGAGGAGCGAGTACAGCGCAGGCGCACGTACACCATGTATGTGTTTATAAGTATATATGTATGTATGTTTCAGTGGCGAAGGGTCCATACAAGACGTCTTACTTTAAATTTTGCAATAATTTTACATACATTTCATTTTTTTAATGTATAAATGTTCTTTTGAAAATATATATAATAATAATAATACTCTTTATTGCACACCGATATATACATATAATAATAACTTTATTTCTTTCTGCATTAATACGTATTTAAAAATTTTATATATTTGGAACGGCTTACCTCTGCTATAAATTTCACCCTTCGCCACAGATGTGTATGTTTGTATATTTATATATGTATGTGTGTAATTGTGTATGTATGTATGTACGACACTCACGCAGGCTAGCAGTCCCGGCCGCGACCTTGGAGCGTGCGAGGTGCGAGTACAGCGCGCGCGCCCGCGCCCGCTGCGCCGCCGCCGCGTCCAGCGCTGACACCGAGCGCGCTGCACCGCCCGAGGATGGGGAGCGCTCTGGTGGGTGAGTCAGTTAGTGAGTTAATGCGAGATTGCCTGCTACAGGTGTTTTTTACACTTAAAAGGCGATTTAAACTTTGTTTGTAATTTTTAAACATTTTGTTAATTAATAAAATATTTTTATTTTTTATTTTTTTATTTTTATTTTTTGAATAGCGACTTACCCTCGCTTTGCTCGAGTGTATAAGACACACGCCTATGTCAGGTCTGGTACTTCAGATCATAGCTTATCTGTATATTAAATTTGATCTACATATATCCGTCCAGCCGTTTCAGCGTGAAATAGTAGCAAATATACAAACTTTCGTACTTATAAGAGTAGTCCAATTTTCTTATTAATTAAGACTTCTTCACATCGTCTTTCAAAAACTATCTAAATTCTCTCAGACATGAACCTTTCCTCGAGATGTTTTCGTTCACCGTAAGACAATGGGAATATTGACAATGATTCACACATAAAAATATCAAGAAGTACCAGACTCGAGATTCAAATCCGATTCCCTTAATTTCCTAAACCTTTTTTACCACAGAGCTACCGCCTACCACCTTAAAACATATCCATTTAATCAATTCTTAACATTCCCATAAACCCACGGGAGTCAAACCCCAAGTATTTTACCATAGAGTAAGCTATTTAACAAAGACCTCTCATAGCGACAGGTATGTGCGAGATGGGGGGTCTCTCTTGGGAAGCGCGTCGTCGTCTCAGAGAGTTGGTCCTATTCACGCCGGATACTAAATTTTCAGTGGACGCTTTAAATTATAAATTAAATTTTACCAAAATCCAAGAAAGCGTGAAAAGAGATTTTTTTAGTTAGACAAAATAATAATAACATGATTAATAAAACACTAAATGTTATAATTGTATGATTCATACAAATATTGAAGATATTTTTTCTATTATTTTTGTGTATGTCTAATAATAATTACTCACCAGAAACACTGGCAGAAGGGCTTCTAGGACTCGTAATATTTCTTCGTTCTAGAAGAAAAAATTGTATGTATATATCAATAATCGATATTATGAATTATTTTAGTAATAATTAATCAACTTCAAGAAAAGGGGGATATTTAAAAAAACGGTACATATTTATATATTAAAATAGTGTATATGTACATACAATACACGTATGTATACTCTATACTTATATAGTGTCCTCCTGACCGCATTCCCGCACGCAGCCTATCTCACTGGGACTAGTTAGATGTGCAGGAGATATTATAGCGTAGACACAACGTGCACTCTCTGTTTCTCTGTCTCATACTCCGATGAGACGACACGAGACACGATCAGTGAGAGGCTTTACATGTTCTGCCTCGGCACGGGAACTTAACAGAAATTCGAATAACTAAACATGTCCCGATCCGGGACTCGAACCCATGACCTCAGGCCGAATACGCTACCCACTAGACCACTCAGTTAAAACTATAAAGACGTTTTAAATAAAACTATCTTTTCGATCCGAAAACTCAAAATAAATAATCCATTTCGCGGATTTATTTTGATTTTTTAAATAAAATTAGGATTTTACAAAATGATTTCTAAAACTGCACAAAAGTATCTTAAAATATTTGTTGATTTTAAGTCTAAACATTTTAAAATTCAATCTCCAACAATTCTCGAGTTATAAGTGTTGTAACAAACCCGACTTTGTTTTATATAATAGTATATATATAGATTTAAAAAAGTATAAGCATTAAACAAAAGATCCAAAAAGAAAGATTTATTTAAAAAACAAAAGAATATCATACATTCACGTAAATCTAAGAAAGCAACTAAGTATAAAGATGTGTACAGACCAGATGTAGTATGCAGTGTGTGCAGAGAGTCGAGGGAGCCGAGCCGCTCGCGCTCGATCTGCTTCTGCGCGGCGACGTCGAGCCGCGAGAACAGCGCCTCCGCGTCCGACGGGAAGTGACGCTTGTACGCTATGAAAGCCCTGCACAAACGCGAAAGTTTCATCATTATTTGATTACTAACGACAAAAACAAATCTATCCCACGGGAATCGTAAATTTTTCCCCGGATAAAAAGTAATCTATGTTACATGCATGCATACATTATATGTACGAGGAAGGGGGCGCCACCCTGGCGCCTGGTAGACTAACATGACCCGAACCAGAAAACAGGCTAATATAGACATAGGGACAATCCAGGACAGAACTGCCTGGCGCAAAATTATTAGGAGAACCGACCCCACCTAAAGTGGGAAGAAAAGAGAAAGAAGAAGAAAATGTAACCAATGTGCTATTTCAGACTGTAACCTATCTGTGTGCCAAATTTCATCCGGATCCGTTCAGCCGTTCTAGTGTGATTGAGTGACAAACATCCATCCATCCAAACTTTCAAATTTATAACATTATTAAATAATAGTATGGGATGAATATCGGAATTGATGCTAAACAGACACAAAAGGAAACTGCGGAAAATCGTAGAATGGTTTTATTGTAAATAGAAAAAACATAGCTTTCTTTTTTCTTTTTTTTTCATTCATCTTTGTTTATTTAATAGTTACGAAAATATATATCATCAGTTGCACAAATTTAAAATTTAAAAAATAAAAACAAAAACACATTTCATCTATAAACATACATTAAAGGTATTTTATGCCACAAAGCATGTACATATATCAAGTTTAACCTAGAATAAGCATCTTTCCGGTATTTTTTTGCTGTAAAGCATTTGTTGGAAATCAAAAGTCTTTATGTTAATATGTGAACAGAAAACTTTGAACCCCTTTTTAAGCATATTGCATGTACGGAGGAGTATGAACTTTGGCATATTTAAAGTATATATAAAGAAGGACTGCAGAAGCCAAAATTCCGGTATGATGAATTATTGCGAAAGATAGCTTTGGTCACTAGTTAACATAAATCCACGAGAAAATAAAATTAAGCGGGTTCGTATCTCGGTTCTAGCATCTCTGATATTTTCATATGTGAATCACCATGACTTACAGTCAATGAAAAGATAAGAAAGCCTGGATATCTGAGAAAACTTAGCAAGTTTTCAAAAGACGTGTTACGAAACCAACTCGCAATTGGCCAGCTTAGTGGACTATAGTCTGATCCACCTCAAATTGAAAAAAGCCTTGCGCCCAGAAGCGAGACATTAAAAGAATGAATACAAAACATGTTAGACCGTATCATATCACAACCAATCACATCACACTCCATCACATCACACGTGTGATAGTGATACGTACTTGCGCGCGTGGTTGCGCGCGGCGCTGTCGGCGTCACCACAGGCGCGGCGGATGGCGTCGCGCACCACCGTCTGCTGCCGCTCCAGCACCTGCGGGCTCCACGTGTCCAGCAGCAGCACCAGCACCTCACTAAGACGTGAGAGATGAGAACATTATATTTATTATATGTAAGAAGTTATTTCTTATACTTTATACAATAATTTTGGCGTGAAAGTGTAACAAACACACATATACACAAATAAACTTTTATATTTATAACTAGTTTACTTCCCAATACAAACTTTCATCTCTATTTTCACCCCCTTAAGGGATGATTTCCGGGATTAAGTTTCTTAAATTTTGTAAGTTTCTGAGCAATTTTCTTATTTTTTTTTTAATGTAAGAATCATCTACGAAGGATTGCAAAACATTTAAAATAAAAGATGAATATAAATCTATAAATAAATCGGTAAAGCCGTTCTTAAGTTATCTTGACCGTGGCCAGGAGAAATGGGGGTCCATTTTTATATAAATATATAATAGTGTAAGGTAGTTCAAAATTTACAAACCATCAACGTCAAAGAGTGAAGCCTACATGTCAGTATTTAAAATATGTCGTTATCTATTGAGTAACAGTGTTTCACATTTTTTAAAGTGAGTGATATATAATGTTAAAATTGTGATCAAACATTAAAATAAATATTTTTTAATGAAAAGTGTTTCTTTCTGAGCCATTTCGTTTTAATAGTTTACCTACTCTTAGTAATGTGACCTATCTATGTGATAGATTTCATCAAATTCTTACCAGCGGTTATATTGTGGACAAAACAAGTATCATGCCTGATTTGCTTATACCACAAGAAACGCGCGAGAACGCGTGTGTGAGAGGGTGTATAAGACAGCGTGGAAGAGAGTAAAAGAGAGAGAGAGTGTGTGTATGTGTGTGTGAGAGAGAGAGAGAGAGATAGTGACCTGAGCGTGGCGCGTATCTCTTTGCTCTTGCTGGAAGTGAGGTTCGTGGCGAGCACGGGCACGAGGCGCGGCGCGTGCACGTGTTGCACGATGTAGCGCACGCACACCGTGCCCGCAGAGGACACCACCTGCGACACACAGACAAACACACATGTAAACATACTTATATAAATTATTAAATATTGAGATTAGAAGGTGGCAACACTGGCGTAAACAGCTGTTTTTACTCGTCTTACATTTATTTGTTAAAATATTAATTATTCCTAAGTATTTTGTGCCATATTCCTATTAAATCACTAAAATAAGTAGTGATAAGTGTTAGTTATTAATAATTAGTGATATTAGTGCGTAAAATAGTTTTTATTTATGAAATAAGTTAAGTGTCAGTTAAGCTGAAAAATCTGAAATTTAGTTGTTATTTTAAACAAAATAGTGTGTTTCCAATAGTTATTATATTAAATATTGCTTTATAATACTTTAATTTACTTGTACTAGTAATTGCAATTTATCAACATTAACCTCTCTTTTGTTTTGCCCCACGAATCCTTTTATTTGATTTATAATGACAACCCGTAGAGCATTTGCCCGCCAGGAGGAGTCTAAACTCCAATTGGCTTTACAGGAACTAAAAGTAAGTAAGGATTTGTGTGCTCAACTGCATAGTGAAAGAGAGGAAAATGAAAAAGAATTATTGACAATATTAAAAAGTAATGACAAGTTAGCTTCATTGACACGGTTACATATAGATTATAGTGATCTTTCAGAGGAGAGAGACAGATTAAAATCAATAGTAGTTAGTTTTGATGAGTGTGCGGTGGAGTATGAACAGGCACTGAAGCGGATCACCACACTGGAGTGCGAGCTGCGAGATGCACAAAAATATATCTCTGAGCTGGAAGAGAGTGCCCATCAAGCAACAGCACTGCACACTCATAGCTTGTTCGAAGAGTTAGTTGAGAACGCTCCAGAGTTGGTTGATGTTACAATTGAAAACCCGGTAACTATAGATCTTACAAATGATACCTTACCAGCACAACGGTTAGACAATTGTAGCAACAATAAACTAAAAAAGTACATGAAAGTAAATAAATTAATAAAGAAAACAAAAAAGATATTAAGTAAAAACAAATGTATTTCCAAAATATATAAAAATAACAGTTCACTATTGTCAAAATTTAATGTTTGTAAATTAGAATTGGAAAATATAAGCCAGAGATATGAGTCTGACACACAATTATTAGAATTACACATAGCCCAGTTGCAAACTTCCTTAAGAAGTATTACTGCAAAGTATGAAAGTAGTGAGAAAATGTTAAATGAGTACCAACTGGAGATGGATGAACTACTAAAGTTATCTAAGTATAACTCTGAAAGATTTGACTCACTCACAAACAATTGTATATGTGAATGTAAACAACTGAGTTCTCCACCCCCGGTCAATACTCCCCCATTTCAGGGAATATTGTGTGACAGGACTGATCTCTCTACTGTTGATAGTTCCCTCCAACATGGAAACACATATATGTACAGTGATGAAATTGGAAGGAATATGGGCACCTATTTATACTCACAATTTGATACAAAAGTATCAAACAGCTGTTTACCAAATTGCTGTCTTTCTGAAATTATTTCACAAATTCATAAAGACAGCAAAAATTTCAATATACAAAGTAATTTAATAATTTTCATAGGAAATAGGGGTAATGTAAACAAAATAGAATTGTTAAAATGTTTAGAATATTTGAATAAGCTAAAAGTTAATAAAATTGTAATGTTTACTTTACCTTACTGTAACAAGTTGCCACAACATGAAAATAATCTTAGATATAAGTATAATATGACATTGTACAATTCATGTACTTACAATTCGAAATTCAATGTTATTGATTTTAACAAATCATATGCTAATAAATATTATTATAAGTGGACTGATAGTAGGTATTCCCTACCATCTTTTATAAAACAACAGATAGCTATGTCGCTATCTTATTATTTTAAAACTTTAGCTAAGAATTTTGGCTATACAAGAAGCTCCTATTGAGCTATGCAGTAGTAATAGTAATATTTTGAATGTACCACAGAGTACTTTAAACTACAAAAAAAGACAATAGAGATCTCCTCTAGCCCAATATTAACAGATAATAATATTTATTTAAAAAACAAAAAAGTATGTAATAGTATTCAATATATCAATCTGGTGCATCAGAATATTCAATGTTTGAGAGGTAAAATATTAGAAGTAGAATTATTTTAAATAGTTTTGATATTAATATATTCTGTGTTACTGAACATGGTTGAAAGTTCATGAAATCATGTTTAATTTCAGTAACCACCAGGTTGGTAGTACGTTTACCAGGGCGAATTCCATACATGGTGGCTCTTTAATAATACTGAACAAATTGTTGAAATATAAGGAACGTAAAGACATAGTGAGCCTCTCTGTTGAGCGTACAATTGAATTAGCATCAGTAGAGTTAGAGCAATTCATTGTAGTATGTGTATACAGACCTCCCTCATCTAACTATGATACTTTTGAAACAGTTATGGATGTAATGTTAAATAAATTGTCAAATTCTAATAAGAAAAAGATTGTGTGTGGAGACTTTAACATAAATATTTTAGAACAAAGTACTTTGAGTATGAAATTACTTAACCTTTTTACATCACACAATCTTTCCAAAATGTTTATGGAGCCAACAAGAATAACTGCCACTAGTGCCACTTGTATAGACAACATTTTTACCAACTTTACACCAATTTCTAAAAACATTATTAGTAAGATAGATTCTGATCATTGTGGTCAATTAATAAAGTTTAATATCGATAAAAATGTTGTCACAAAAAGGAAAATCTCTTTTGTGCCAGTAACTACAAACCGACTCATTCAATTGCAAAATGACCTAAGTTGTTATTTACCATTATTAAGTAATAATTTAAGTGCGAATGAGATGTATAACCAATTCTTTAAATCTTTTAGTAAACTTTACAATTCGGTATTCACTACCAAATCGGTTACAGTTTCTGATACATTGGTATTTAGTGAGTGGGCAACTGCAGAGTTATATAAAAAAAGAGAAAAATTATACGAAATGTACGCAGAAAGGCAGCATAACACTAGTGAACGGTTTAGAGACAAAGTTAAATCATTTTCCAAATTATTTAAAAAGGATTGCGAAATGGCAAAGTCTCATTATCTGAGTAACAAGATAGAAAATAGTGGTAATAAAATTAAAGCTACATGGAAAATAATTAACGAGGAAACTGGAAAGAGTAAAACTCTAAACAATAGCTTTAAATTAAATATAGATAATAAATACATTAGTTCTGACTCTGAGGTAGCCGCCGCGTTTGAAACCTATTTTACCGACATACCAGTTTCCACTACTAGGTCTCTGAACTCTTCACCTGCCACTGCGATCAAATTATTGGAACAAAATGTGGAAGAATGCAATATTAGCTTTAAGTTCGAAAATATAAATGCACAACAAATTATAAATGTATTTAAATTACTGAATGTTAAAAAAACAAAAGATCCTTGGGGAATTTCTGTTAGCATCCTTAAACCACTTATTGATGTTGTTGCATCTGACTTAGCATTAATATTTAATAAGTGTGTAGAATCTGGTGTGTTTCCTGACTTAATGAAACTTAGTAAAATTATTCCTTTGTTTAAATCGGGTTGTACCTCTGATGCCACTAATTTTAGGCCTATTTCAATATTACCTACATTTAGTAAAATCTTTGAAAAAATAATGTTAACTCAAATTACGAAACATTTTTATAATAATGAACTATTACATGTAAAGCAATACGGTTTCACTCGCGGTCGTTCAACAGCCGATGCTGGAGTCGCGTTACTTCTAAATATATTTGAGGCCTGGGAGGAGTCACGTGATGCACTTGGCATTTTCTGTGATTTGTCCAAGGCATTTGATTGCGTTCATCATGAAACGTTGGTCAGAAAATTACACCACTACGGAATTAGAGATAAGGCTCTGGATTTACTTAGATCATATTTGAATGAAAGAATCCAGAGGGTAGACGTGAATGGAAAGCGTTCCCCTGGATCAGTTGTTGAAATGGGTGTACCACAAGGTTCAATTTTGGGTCCTTTTTTGTTCCTCATTTATATAAATGACCTACCATACCTCGTAAAGGATGACCACGGGATAGTTTTGTTTGCTGATGATACATCTTTAGTTTTTAAAGTTAACAGACGACAAGCAGTAATTGACGATGTGAACATTGCTTTATCCAAAGTGGTACAATGGTTTAATGTCAACAACCTTTTACTAAACGAGAAAAAAACAAAATGTGTAAAATTCACTTTACCAAATGTTAAAAGTGTAAAAACCAATGTACGACTGAATAATGAGGAACTAGATCTAGCTGATACCACTGTATTTCTAGGCATTACATTAGATTGCTAACTCCAATGGGGCCCTCATATTTCTCAATTATCGAATAAGCTCAGTTCTGCAGCCTACGCGGTTAAGAAAATACGTCAATTAACAAATGTAACGACAGCTAAGTTAGTATACTTTAGCTATTTTCACAGCATTATGTCATATGGTATTTTACTATGGGGTAATGCTGCTGATATTGACACAATTTTTGTGCTGCAGAAAAGGGCTGTTCGAGCTATATATAATTTAGGCCCAAGAGAATCTTTGCGGAATAAGTTTAAAGAAATTAAAATAATGACTGTACACTGCCAATACATCTATCAAAATCTAATATATGTACATAAAAATATTGATAAATTCAAGAAATATAGTGACCTGCATAATGTAAACACTAGAAACAAAAATAAGCTAGTTCAGCCCACCACTAGGCTCCATAAAATTGGTAATTCCTTTATTGGTAATAGTATTCGCTTTTACAATAAACTACCAGATGATACTTTAAAACTGTCAATAAATAAATTTAAAATTTACATTAAAAGACAATTAATTAATAAATCCTATTATAATGTAAAGGATTATTTAAGTGATAAAAAAGCTTGGGAATGAATTGCTCTTTATACTGAAGTAAGGATGTTTGTGAAACAATGATCACAATAAAAAATGTTACTTGGCTGAGTTTCTTGTGGGTTCTTCTCAGACCAGGGCGCGTTACGAACCCTCGTAGCTTTAGTTTAAGTCTTCTAATTGACGTACACAAGTGATCATTGAATTGATACAATGTGTAAAAAGAAGTAAATAAATAAATAAATAAATAAATATATTGGGACATTAGTACACATCACCATCTAGTTCCGTGGTATGATACGAGCAAAAAATCGTTACAGTTGTATTGTTTACTTATGAGATACAATATTCACGAGGCCTGTGTTATGGATACCAGACAGTTGATACACTACACATAACATATAACTTTATATATATACCTATTATTATAAATATAAACACCTATGACTATAGTACAGACATTCGTGCTCATCACAATGGAAAACTCAATGAGGAGATTTTAGGTAATTCAAACATTTCACTCGGCAAACCCAGTCATACTAAAACCCAGAGCGGAGATTCTATGTTGGGATGAATATCGAAATCGATATTAGACAGACACAAAAGGAAACCGCAAAAAATCGTTACAGTTGTTTTATTGTAAGCAGAATTTTTTTTTCTTTATTCTGTGTTTTTTTCATTTAAAAACATTAATAACTGAATTTAAATATTTTTATAGAGCTTCTTACGTCAATACTCGATACGCACTAGTTGTAGTTCTTGGTTTCCTTTACTTATGAGATACAATATTTATTCGAGAGATTTTAGTGTTACTTCAGAAACTGTTGAATAGTTCGATAACATAGTGACGTTATACTTTTTAGTATGTTTCATTACCAGCTGTGGCAAACTTAAAAAAATAAATAAAAATAAACAGTTATTGACATTTTTTTAAATAAAAAGGAATGTTACCTTTGGGTTAAATTAGATATCTTCAATATTTAAAGTACGTTTTTTCTTTCTTACATTTACGCGAATATTTGACATTTTAAATAAAACTATTCGGATTTTTTCGTGGAATTATTTTGATTTTTGTTTCACGACGTATAATGCTTTACAGCAATCATGGTGAGAAAGACTAAGATTTTATTTATAACAACCTTTGAGACGTCTAAAACCTAGTATAATATAAATGAAACGAACCTTTGCAGCATTTTGTATGAGGTTGATCAGCTCCTGCAGTATGTAAAGGCTGAACTGCTCCAGCTTGTTGCGTAGCACCTTGGCCATGTGCGCTATCGTGATGCACGCCTCGCGTACCACCTGCAACAATTTATATACATTATTCTATATAAATAATTATATGCGTATTTGAAATTTCACGTGTACTCTTGACCGTTGAGGAGTTGCTACGCTGAGCCAATTCTAGATGGAGAATCGAGTCATAAGTTTCATAATAACACATTGTCATCGAAACAGAACCCGCCTACTACACTACTAGAATATTAGATAAGATATAACTTCTGATGGTCACACAACCAGAAATCACCATGAACCTACCAGACTCCTAGCATTTTAAATAAGAATACCATAATTTCTGATAGGCAGTGTCGTGATATATATACCTATATTTATCTATACTAATATTATAAAGACGTAAAGTTTGTGAGATTGTGAGTTTGTGATGTTGTAGGGGATAATCTCTGGATCTACTGAACTGATTTAGATGAAGTTTGATAAGAAGATAGTTTCAGATCCTGGGAAGGACATAGGATACATATTATCCCGGAAATCATTTCATAAGGGGGTGAAAATGGCGACGAAAATTTGTATGCGGAATCAAGCTATTAAATAAACACATTGTCATGTCGGTAGTCTTAACTTTTAGAGGAGGGAATTTTAAAAAACCAGTCGTCATCCAGAAGTAGTTTCATTTAGACCTCATTAACCACTAGTCACATAACCAGAAACCCACCTGACTCCTAAGATCCTTGATGACGACGAGGAAGGGCACGGAGAGGTCCTTCAGGTGTGCAGCGAACTCCGCCGGGTACTGCACGTGCGCGTTGGCCGCGAGCAGTGAGCGTATTTTCTTTAGCTGTCACATACAAATGTTACAATTCATTTTATTATACACTAACGAATTACCCTTGCTTCGCTCGTATATAATGGTTTAGGAAAACATATAACAAACGTCCAAAGAAAAAATACTTTTTCTGTGCCATAAACCTCCGCAGGCGTATACAGGATACCACCAGTTTCATCATAATCGGATCAATGGTTTCGGAACACACGGTAAAGGTCAAACATACGAACATTCAATTTCCATTATATACATTAATGCCTAACAGTAGCCTTTGTGTTACTCCAGTTCATAGTGTAGCTATGTATTAAATTTTATCAAAATTAGTCCAGCCGTTTCAGCGTAAAGGAGTAACATACAAAAGTGGAAGGGACTCATTGAAAATAATTATAATAAAACTAAAAAAAACATAGAAATAAACTCGCTACGCTAAGCAAAGAACATACATCGTATGTGTATGGGAATTATACAGGCTAAAGAATTATTTAGACAGAGACCACCAAAAAATTGTCAAAGTCAAAAATAGTAGCGTGAATTGCTGTTAATGCTAATATTTTTTACGTGCGCGTGTGTACATGTGGCCTCATGCCGAACTATGTGCGTGAGTGAGTGCGTACGTGCGTGTGTGTGTGTATCAAGGCTATTAATTTTATTAGAAAAAAATTGACAACGTCAAAGCAAAATTCATTGTGTTCAAAATTTATATCAAAATATATCAGGAAATTACATTAAAACTTTAAGTAAGTAATACTATAAAAAATGTTTTAAAAGAAAACAATATGGAATATGCATAGGTATTACAAGACGTCCGCTATAAACAATAGCATTCCCAAAGAGGGTTGATGTCAGGCACGTGGCCAGTCTGAAAACTTTTGCCAAATCCTTGCAGCAGTACAGAAGTTGTACTGCGCCGACCCCAAACGATTGGGAAATGGGCAATGAGATGATGTTGTATAATGTATATACTCACAGCGTCAACCCTCTTCTCCCAGTCGGCAGCGCGGTCGCCGAGCAGCGCGGCGGCGTGGCGGCACAGGTCGTCGAGACCGCGCGCGCCGTACACGGCGGCGGGCGCGGTGCTCGCGAACGCGGCCTCGAAGGCCTCGCTCGACACCGCACCCGCCTCGCCCACGCCCGCCGCCCCGCTCGAGGCTAAGGGTTGATATTGATTTTCAAATTAAGTTATATAAATTAACTTTAAACAATTAGATTTAAGGCAGTGGTAGTCCAGTGGTAACGCGTTCGCTTGGGAAACCGAGTGAAGCAGGTTCAAATCCCGGATCTTGTGCCTCTATTGTTCTCTTGTGCGAATTATTTCCAACATGATTACCAGTTGCCTAACGATGAAAAAAGGTAGCATGTATGTCCGAGAGAGAACTTAGCAAGTTTTCAAAAGACATGTGAAATCCGGTCCGCACTTGGCCAGCGTGGTGGACTATGGCTTGATCTCTCTCGCATTGAAGTGAGGCCCACCCCCCAGTAGGACGTTAAAAAGGGCTGACGACGACGATTTATCAACAATTACTTGACTAAAATTATATATACGTATAAAACTATCTTTTCGGATTTTTTCGCCACGATTGCTGTAAAGCATTCGAAATGTCGGAAACCAAAAATTAAAATAATTCCGTGAAAAAAATAGTTTTATTTAAAACTAGCAGAATCGGCGGCTTCGCTCGCGCCAAAAATACTATAAAAAAGTTTGGCTTTATGCTATTAACAATAATGTATGGAAGTCTGCCCGGCTTGTTGACATTTATAACTGCTCCGCTCCCTTCGGTAGTAGCATGATAATACATACATATATAGCTTATAGCCTTCCTCAATAAACTATCTAATGCAAAAATAATTTTTCAAAACGGATTAGTAGTTCCTGAGATTAACGCGTTCAATCAAACAAACTCTGCCTCTTTATAATATTAGTATAGATGTCAAATATTCATGTACATATATCTAAGAAAATTATACTTGTATAAATTAAAATAATACCAAAATACAGAATACAGATATGATTTTTTTTTAAATATCAAATAAACACTTACCACTGGCAGAGCCGGTCTGTTTAGTGGGTGGTGGGGGTTTCCTGCTAGTTGAAGTCAAGCTGTATAGCCCCGCGACTGTACGCTTTGGGGGATCGCATGCTATATGTTTGTATGTCGGGGGTCATTTGTGTTTGGGGTCGTATTTTTGTTTTTATATATATTTATTAACACAATTTTGGGGGTTTCGTTTATTTTTATTGTTTTGGGGTTTTGGTGTTTAATTTGATTTATGATTCATTTTAGTTATTATAGTGACCCCAATGTAATTTATTATATATTTTAAAAGGTAAATGTATGATTTATTGCAACATTTTTTTAATGTGAAATTATTTACGATTGATCGAAGTGAGTTAGAGTGAAGTTAAAATTAATGAATACCAAAATGTTCATTAAATTCATTAATTAATGATAGAAAGATGTTTTTTTTATTAGAAAGGGACAGAACGTGTTAAAATGTCGTGTATATTACCAGTGCCGATGAAACCCACAAGTACATGGCAAAAAAGAGAATAAATTATGTTAATATATTGTTATATCTACTTTATAATTGAATGGTGCTATGCAATCAGGACTTAAGCAAGCATATTAAATATTATTTCTTCGTTTAACTAAGCGACTACAAAGAATTATGCAATATAATGTTAAAGCATATTTTTTTTTAATGAAATTAATGGTGATTGCATAACACCATCCAAAATGAAAGTGCACAATGGCTGATGAGAGAAAAATAATGATTTTGCTTATAAGTAGATAATTAGATATGAATAAATAATGAAAATAGTTTTGTTTTAGTTCTACTACCAAACAACTGTAATCTTCCTTTAAAATTATTACTGATACAATAATAATTAATACTAATTAATACTAATAGATTTCTAAAATGTATACCATATATGTATTTATATAAATTACTACAACAATGTATTTTAATTATAATTTCGTTTAAATCACAATATAGCAGCTTACGTTTAAAATCTTCATGGAAAATTCACCTCATTTTTCATCAAATAGATTATACATATTTAGACATTTCATTTTTTTTATAACGGGATTCTTACCGGGTGTGGAGGCACCGGAGCTATCTCCATCCCGGGATCGAGCCGTGGTCGGGATAGTCATTGTTCGCTTCACTGTCCGGGACACGAAGTCCGCTTCGTCTTGACCTTGGTTGGCTGGGATAGAAAATCAGAATCCATAATAATATTATAAATGCAAAAGTATCTGTCTGTCTGTATAGATGGTCAATTCTTGTATATAAATTTATTTCGTGTATCTCGAAAACGGCTCTACCGATTTGGATCAAATTTTAAGTTTAGAAAACTTTTGCTTTTAAGTTTACCTACACATTATCTTTTCTGTAAAAAAACCGCAATTTTTCACAAAAACAACGTTTTCTATCTGCTTTCACGCAGACAATGTCACATAGCGTTATCTCGTAAATGTTAGTGATAATTGCATTGTCCCAAATTTATGATAACCTACTGGACGAGCGCGTATGCCGAACGTCCTCTTGACAAACACCCCAATAACTTAACACATCCTCACCCGTGACTCGAACCCGTGACCTCAGAATATAACAAACTTAGACAAAAAAAAACGTATTAACAAAATTAAAAACGAATACATATCACATCGTTATAGTCAAACCCAGTTACATTCACTAGTATAGCAACATAAACTGACGTTATAAATAAAACTATCTTTTCGGATTTATTTTGATTTTTGTTTCCTGACGTTTCGAATGCTTTACAGCAATCATCGTCACGGGAGAAATCATTTCTAATTTTGTGGGTAGGCACTGTCTGTAACAACTATATAATAACCATTGAGACGTCTAAAACCTTAGTCTTTTCCTTGACCATGATTGCTGTAAAACAATCGAGATAGCGGGAAACAAATATCAAAATAACTCCGCGTAAAGAACCCAACAAATAATTTCTATTTAAAACTAGCGACTCACCCTCGCTTTTCTCGGGTTCGTACCTAGGTACGTTTTAAATTAAAATGGATATAGTATGTTATCCTTAAGAGATAGACATGCCATCGCAGACTTTTCTGTAGACCTATATAAGATACACAATTCCACCATACATTATTTTGTTATATCTCAAAGGGTTTAGGCAGCGTTTTCGTTGAAAGTTCCCAGACGTCTTATTTTTTCCGACACCTCCAACAAACATCGTTATATTTTAGCCAATGTATACAAAAACTTAACAAATTATATACTAAAACCTTCGTCTTGAATCACTCTATCTATTAAAAAAACCACATCAAAATCCGTTGCGTATTTTTAAAGATTCAAGCATACATAGGGATATAGGGACAGAGAAAGCGACTTTGTTTTATACTATGTAGTGATGTGAAATATTGACTTAAATCGAAGATAGTATTAGGTCACACTGAGCCTCACCAGAAGGCAACAGCAGACCCGCCTCGCGAGCCTCGTCGAACTTCTGCTCGAGGAGCGCCAGCTTAGCAGCAGGCACTAGTTCCTTTTTCTTCAAATCTTGTCTTAGTCTTTCACCTGGAATATTGTTTTATATATTAATTAATGGATGCTCGCGCTTATATACATACAAATATACATATGTATAGGTAGGAAAGGAAAATGAAATATTGAAGTGATACAGGAAGCGACAATGTTTACGACATTGACATGATCAATTACTTGAGTAAAAAATCAACTAGAAACTTTTACATATCTGAATTAAAAACACACACATGTATGTACACAACTTAGTTATTTACATGGATTACATGTGGCTGTCCTGTATTTTTTTGGTAATTCAATTAAAAAATTTTACTTCAATAGTCAACAATTTAGTTTTTAGTTGCATATCCATTACTTGAGGGATAATTGATTCCCCATACAAACTTCCACCCCCTTTTCATATATTAATAATTATAAATAGATAATTTCCGAGGTAAAAATTCTTCTACATCCTACCCAAGGTCTTAAACTATTTTAATACCAAATTCCGTTTAAATCAGTTCAGCAGATTAAGCGTGAAAAGATAAATAGCCAGATAGACAGTCCCTATCGCATTTATAATATTAGTATGGATGATTTTCTCTTCATAATATAAGTAATAAGTATATGTATAACGGAACGTGCACAGACCGACGTGCCGGTACACGTCGACGAGCAGCTGTAGCGCGGCGTCGCGCACAGCGGCGCTGGGGTCGCCCACCAGCGCGGCTAGATTCGGCACTGCCGCGCGCAGCTGCAGCTCGGCCGCGCCGTGCCTGGTCGTATGAAAGAAAAGTATAATAAAAAAACCGGCCAAATGCGAGTCGGACTCACGCACGAAGGGTTCCGTACCATTATCTATAAAAACGGCAAAAAAATCATGTCTCTTGTATGAGACCCCCTTAAATATTTATTTTATTCTGTTTTTTAGTATTTGTTGTTATAGCGGCAACAGAAATACATCATCTGTGAAAACTTCAATTGTCTAGCTATCACGGTTCATACAGGCTGGTGACAGACGGATAGACAGACAGACTGACGGACGGACAGCGGAGTCTTAGTAATAGGGTCCCGCTTTACTCCTTGGGTACGGAACCCTAATAATATCTGTCATAAGGGATAGTGATAAAAATGATAAAATGATAAAAAAAATTAAACAAAAAAATATATGGTGATAAAGGATAATAATAATATTTAAAAAAATGGGTGCGTGTAACCTTTACGCACAGTTGAAGTAAAACTTCTTTAGCAAATATCATAAGTAAATTAAAACAAATCAATAAATAAATAAGGCATATTAAGCACATTACAATTATATACATAGTTATAGAATACATATCACAATATGACATTCTATATACATATGATTGTAATATGCCTAATATGCCTTATTTTACTATTTGAACTTGAAACCTCCACGCGTTCATAAAAAATAGGGTCTTGAGTCTTGACAGACAGACAAAGTGACCCTATAAGGGTTCCGTCTTTCCTTTCGAGTTTTGTAACCCTAAACGCTAAGCAACTTAAACAGCAACTTACGAATGAATCAAAGTGCCAATACACTTCAAGGTCTCCTCCCTCGCGTGCGCCGCCTTGTGCTGCAGCGCAGGCAGCAGCCGAGCGAGCAGAGGCCGCGCGGGCGCCGCGCGACTCTCCGACAGCGACGAGATACACGCGCGGGCGGACACGCGTACACCCTCCTTTGTATCCGCTAGCCTGATATTGGTATATTTTTATTATACTTTAGTCTATTGAACATATACATATTGAAGAGAAGTCAGTGGTAGCCCAGTGTTAACGCGCTTGGGAAACTGAGTGAAACGAGTTCAAATCCCAGGTCTCACACCGCTGATATTTTCATGTCCGAATCATTTTCAACATGATTACCATTTGCCTAACGAAAAAAAAGGAAACCTACCCTATACCTAATCTATATACCTAAACCACGAATAAATTTCAATGATAGTATAATCTTCATACACATATAACTCTACTAGCATTGCCCGCGGCTCCGCCCGCGTTCAGATGATCAAAAACGAAATTCTTAGGTTTTACATATTAGTATACTCTTACGGTGCAGTTTTTGTATTTTTTCTCAGAAATGAGATATTTTCCCACGGTAAAAAGTATCCTATATGTTGACCCGGATAACCAGCTATCATCATACCAAATTTCATCAAAATCTGTCCAGTGGCTTTCTCGTGATGCGGTAACAGACAGACAGACAGACAAACAAAAATTCTAAAAACTATAGATTCGGACTCTGTATCGATAATAATGTCTATTTAAATTAGATTTTCCAAAAAATGTTTAATGGACAGATTCGGCTTAGGTACAATTTTATTATATGTATAGATTACACTATAGGAAGTGACGTTAGATGCTTAGTCGAATGTGACATATGACTCAGTGGGATTGGCTATTGTTTATTATATACCTACATATATGCATGTACATACCTCGTACCTACATAGAAAAATCACAGAAAAATACCTACATACCATCTTTACCAATTTATTGAATTAATAGCATAAGCTATATAATTACACTAAAAGAAATCATAACAATAATAAAAAATAAGAACTAATGCGTCCCTACGTACGTTCATATAGCGTTGCTAGATTTTAATAGATGTTTTAAGAGAAATAATTACGTAATACATTGTTCTCATATAACTCTATCGGTGTAAGCGGCGCACGCCAGTGTAAAGCTCTCATTCAGCATAATTTTTTCCGACATCTTCAGCAGTCATCGTCGTATTCCAGCCAATTTACACAAGACCTTAATGAATTATAACAGCTAACACTTCTTCATGAATACACTAACCAACCAATCTAACAAAAACACATTGGTGAAAACCGTATGAAAATCCGTTCAGTAGTTTTTGAGTTTATCGTGTTCAGTCAGACAGGCAGATGTAGTGATATGTTAATTTTTTTATAAATTACTATTAAAAAAACCTGCCTGGGTGACTGTTAATACGTAAGATAAGAACAAGATATATAAGTATTAACATTTTGAAATGATTAAATCTGTGATTTACGCCATTTTCGCATCAAGCAGTATAAAAAAATAAAAATAAAACGGTATTCAGTTACTCAGGCGTTTTGCTGCGGTTTCAATACAACTACAAGTAGCATTTTAACAGATTATATTACGTTATAAAGAAAAGATGGTACATACTGTATATATCTACATACTAAATGTGAAGGTACAGCGATACATGATCCGATGATAGAAATTGTTATAGTAAAGTCGACGTCTTTGTTTATTTTTAAATCATATTTATATATTAGATTTAAATTCTTATTATTTTCTAGATATTTTTAGTTTTAATACACCTAAATATGTTTAATTGTATATTAATCGATAAAAGCTAAACGGATTTCAATGTGGTTTACTTCTTAGATGTGGTATGCGTAGTGCTCTGCTTCTTAACAACTATTCCTGACAATTTCTTAAGAGAACACCTGCTCGACCCAGTACTCGAACCTAAAATCTCCGGATCTAGAATAAAGGGACACGTTCTAGCTATATACAAAAATATTATATTTTTACTCTATACATAGTATAAAACAAAGCCGCTCTCTGCGTCTGTCTGTTTCTCCGCTTACTTCTTCTAAACCACACAACGAATTTTGATACGGCGATCAACGAGGAAGGTTTGTGAATATAATTTGTAAATATTTTTTACAATATAACTGAGCATAGACAGTGTTTTGTCAAAAAATCTGTGTTCGTACGATTACATGGCTAACACTGGCTAAACCTTTAGAGATATATCAAAACAATGTATTAGAAAATTGTAAGTCTTAAATAAGTTGGGCTTACAAGGAGTCTGCAATAGCATATATCTATTTCCTAAGGTACGCTCACAATAACTTTTCTATATAAAACGTACCTAGAGACGCAATCGAGCGAAACGAGGGTAAGTCACTAGACAACCAATAAAATTAATCCAATTAAAATTAACCGATAAAAGCTAAACGAATTTCAATGAGGTTTTCTTTATATCTTTTACAGTGTCATCTTGTTGAACAATCTAGGTGAGACGACAGTTCAAAAATCGCGGAGAGAAATTAGGCACAGTGTTCTGCCTCTCAATTCCTGGCTATGGCAATTTCTTTGGAGAACCCCCCAATAACTATAGGTACATAGAACGACTCGGGAGTCGGAATCCAAGACTTTTGAATCTTCAATATACTGGGTATGGAACATGTAATGGGTTATTGCTGAATACATAAACACATGTACAAAATCTTTAAATTAATTTCTTACCTATCAATGATATGCGGCAGCACAGTCGGTACGTAGTGTGAGAACTCTTGACCCATGCATTCTGCGAGTGCACCTATCACCTCTAAACCATGTTGGGCCACCTGCAAAGAAATACTTTATTTAACTAAAAATGTTCACTAACACTAAAATGACTTAAAAATAAATATTTGAAGGAAAGACATTTGAAAAAAAATCATAAAAATCCGTAAAGAAAAAGATATAGCCGATTTGAGTACCTCTTACTTATTGATGTCGATTAAATATTTATCAATTAATACTAAAATAAATTCGTATAAATTCAAATCACTGTCCTTTTACATTTAGTCGAGTTATAACCTAATTTACTTTTATTTAATATATGATGACTGAAACATCTCTAAAACATTTTTATCTTGACCACTTAAGAATTGCAATAGACAATGACAACAGCTAGTGAGATTCGCCATTTTGATTAATTTTTTATATTTATTTATTGACAATAGCCTATGACACTCATGTTACCAAGACGAACCTAAAGATAAATGAACCAACATAGTCGGTTTAGCAGTTTAGTAATTTCGAGGAGTAGTAGGATCCGAGCATACATACATACATACATACATACCTATATACAGATCAAACACATAACCTTCCTTTCGGCTTCACCGCAATCGGGTATTTTTAAACGAAAGACACCTTAAAGCACGCTATAATCTTTGAGTCTCAGAAACTAATTAAATGAGCTCAAACTCGACAGTTTAACCAGTATCTAACCATTGAAGAATTCCACCTCCTGGCTCCATCATCAGAACAGCTCAATGGCACCAAATTGTTGTATAGTCATCTAAATTTTACATACTTATATAGTTTCACATGACATTTAGAAGTAAGTCAAAACCGACTTCCAATATTTGATTAATTAAAGGAGTGACATCTTATGAAAAAAAAAACTTACAATATTCCCGAAAGAAAATATTCACAATAGATATGTAGATATCAAAACTTTTATCTATCACGAAGGTAGAACTTTATCGAATATCGTTAAATTATCGCAAAATGTTATCTATTCCGCACAACTAAACTAAAGAAATGAGATTAAGATACGCCCATATGGCAAGATGTTGGCGGCCCTATTCTGAGAACTGACGCTTGATACTCGACTATCTTATCTACTTGTTTATAGCCGTGGCTCCACTTACTTGTGGTAAGTTCAGAATATTCTCTCTCTATTTAAAATTTAACTAAAATAGTTTAGCCGTTACATATAGCGCGAAGAAAATAACGTAGCTATTTATTAAAAAAATAAGCAATTAAATAACAATCAAAATAACAACCCGGTATAGAATGAAAGTCAAAAATACAATACAAAAAAACAAATTGATGTGATTTTTAATTTTAAAAATTTGTCAAGTCAAATAAATTCCAAATGATTATACTTATTATAATGCTAACGATTTAAGTCGCCTTTGCTTCGGTATCGCCCCAGATATGAATTGTTTAGAAACACATAGAGAAAAACCATACAAAAAAAAACCTTTTTTTGGTCAAAGTTTTTAAACAATCGGGTGAATTAAAGAAACATTCTTTATATTTAAACAGAAAAGGAAGATTCATTATTAATAAATTTCATACGACGAAAATTTATTTTCGCGAGAGACGATCAGAATAAGCCGTCAGAGCGATGATGCGTGGAAGTAATCAGAGTGTGTACGAAGCATCCTACCGTTTTAGATTAACCGACTGCGGTTATTACGTGGCATGATATTTTGGGTTTCTTTTTATTAATCAGCTCACGATTTACGACCTAGTATCGCTTGGATTCTTTCGTAGGTATCTAAAAGTAGCCCACATGTAACTCTAGTTCATAGGTTATCTATATATATATATACTTAATTTCATTTTCAATTTAAAATGAAGGAATTATTAAAATCGGTTCAGCACTTTCGGAGTTTATAGATTACAAATAAAAAAACAAACAAACCCTCCAAAACAAAATGTATACGTATGTATGCAAGTACACCGCCTACCATGTCGTATACTGGTTCTTCTACCTAAGGTTGCCTGGAAGAGATCGCTTATAGCGATGAGGCCACCCGTTATAATTTTTAATCTTTTTTTATTTTTTAATAGGTTTTAAGTTTGCCTTATAATTTTGGGTCACATTTATTCATTAAAATTTTATCCCTTTCCTGTCGACAGATTGATCTGATATTTGGTACACATCTTTAGTTCTGAGTACAATACAATTGAATATTATATCCAATGATGACATATTTTTCAACAACTCTCTCAATGTGGCTATCAAATGAAAGGACTTTACAAATCGAATACAGTGTATTGCGGATCATCAATACAGTTTAGACAGTTCAAAATAAAATAAAAAAACTGAAATCCTGAAAATAAAATAGGTGAAAAATTTATGATAAATTTATTAAATGTAAATATGATCAAAAATGTTAGCAAATATTCATTAGATAAAATTAAAACGATTAACACAAAATAGCTAGTATACCTACAAAAAGGTCATAAGTTATTCTCAACCAGGTCATGCGAGGGTCGAATCTAACGAACAAAAATATAGGTGGTCGGTGACATAAGACTATTTTCTTATTAAGATTGCGCTCGCCGAGGCGGTAAACTAAGATTTGTACTTGTATTGAATTTAAGTTCAGATACACTGAAATCTAGACTCAAATATGGCAATATAATATATGTTTAAAGAAACCAGGCAAAATTTTTAACTTTTTTTTATTTTTTTGAATTTTTCCTTTATTTGTACTGTAAGAACTTGCGTTTTGACAAATATCGTGATTCTAGGTCAACGGGAACTACCATATAGGTTTTCGACCCAAAATCTATAGGTACTTCCGGCCTTTACTATATTCTAAACTAATAATTCTAAGCTAATACTACCTACTTCTACCCAAAGATTGCCTGGAAGAGATCGCTCTCTAGGTATAGGATAAGACTGCCTACTGTACTATTCCAACTTATAATAAAGAATATGTATAGGTATGTATTTGCACTTTTTAACTCCTAAAGAGCTGGTATAAATTCCATGGGATATAATTTCATAGATTTACAACAATATTTGACACTTTAAATAACGTATTTAAATAACGTACGTAAAGTCGATTCATTTTGGTTTTTGATATCCGACGTTTGGAATGCTTTACACGGACGCGGTCATGGGAGAAAAAAAGGTGAGTAGGTTCTAGAACTAGCCACTAACCTTAAAGTTCCCACCATTCAACCAAGTCACCATAGCATCGATGATCTGTGGAGCCAACTCATGGTTGATCTCCTCTCGTCTCACGAGGGCCGCTAGACGCTCCCCTAACTGCTGTCGTAGCCGAGGATCTGGGCGAGAGAGCAGCGGTATGGCCGCTTCTAGCGTAGCCGGTTGCGGATAGTGCGCCATCTAGAAACGATCTGTATATATAACATTTTAATTAATGCTTTTCGTTTTATTACTTCAAAATCATTAAAAAGTTTCACCATTTCTAAACTTAAGTGTAGGTTTTCTTGAAATTTATATCAGATCATTCCACCACAACCTTATTATTAAATCATTTTAAATAAAAAAAAAGAAAAATAATTAGCTTAAATCTAGAAAACAATCAATAAAATGAATGTGATTGTCTATTTCCCTTTCTTATATATATTACTTGTGCGATGTCCAATAAAGTGTCTATCTATAAAACGTGATCAGAGCTGCGAGCAACAGCCAATAGTCAATTGTCTTTATAAATGTTTGACAATATAAAAGCTCGCACTCCGCCATGTGTATTAATGCTTAAAAAGGGCTTTACATGCCCTGGCAAAGGCACCAAAAAAAATATTGAGATAACGTAGTCTCATCACATTATTTTAAACTTTCCTCCTATTGCTAGATTAATACAAGCATTTACCGCATATAGGCATAGAACCCACGACCATTAGCAGGCAAATGAATGCTTTAATATATTCAAGATAAGATTACCGTTACCAACAACCCATTTTGCAAGTCCTCACAAGCCACAGCTTACATACTAATATCGTATTTATAATGCATTGATTCTGTGAACTTACGTGAACTGAGTAGTTTAATGACATCTGTATGACTACCACTATAGTTGCGAATGTTTGTATATATGTCTGTTTGTATAGCTGTTACTTCTTCACGCTGAAACGGCTGGACAGATTTGAATGAAATTTAGTATACAGATAAATTATGACCTGGAGTAACACATAAGCTATATATATTCAATATCCAGGGACGCACCCAGTACGCACGCACGCAGGATCGCATATAAAGCGCAATACAACTCACTACATACTAAATACTACATTATTATTGGTAAGCAGATTTATCAAAGAGAGAAGATATCCGCTAAGGAAGTATTTTTAGACATTCAACCCCTAAAAGGGTAAAAGAAGGATTGGAACGTTTAGGTTTTTTTGTATGATAATCCCTTATTTTTTAAATACGTGGGCGAATCCGCAAACAAGTGCTAGTGTGTGTTTGTTTGTTTATAAATAAAACTCAAGTGTCAGTCTGAGGTTCTAAAATAAGTTACTGTCCTTTATGGTCGCACCATATAGTTCAGGATAACAGCAATTAAAACAAAACAGTTTTGACTATCTGTTTATCCGATCGAATCTTCTAAAGAGTTTGAGTATTTTATGAGCTCCTACACAGTAAAAATTATATTTTTCTTTGTGTTTTGCGGAAAATATTAAGGTTCCATAAGAAATATCCGCATCAAATCAAAAATTAACTTTACAAGTAGGTACTTATGAATCATCCACTTACCACCATCAATTTGGAAGGCAGTTCTGTTGAGACGATCTCAAGAGAAACTCAACAGTTGCTCTTTAAAATATCGATGTAAAATATTGTTCTAAATCTTAATATGGTTTCTAGTCATTTTACCAAATAGTCAAGTCAACAATGGGACAAACAGATTTTTCACTACAAAAACTTTAATGAAATAAATAAAAACCGCTTTAAAAAAACAATCAAAGATATTTAAGTATTAATTAAAAATTTATTTTGAAGTATTTATTTAAATATTTACTTTCCAGTATCTTTTTTTCGAAGTCGGTTATGATATTTTCTTAAAAGTTTTTATTTTTTATGTTCAGTGTAGACATAGTAGTAGCAGAGTAAGAAAAAAGTATTTTAATCAATAAAATATTCGCTCCAGCCGCTTACATTAGTTTCATGCCAATTTTTATATGAAAACTGACAAACTATAATTCGCTTTTATTAGTAACACTAACAATCAGGCTCTGAAATCCATTTCTAACCTATTGGGTTTGTCACATCAAACCAAATAAGCCTAATCTAAAAGTATCAACTATGAGCCGTTGAAGAGTTCCACTTATCCACTTTCTGACCTTACCGTCAGATCAGGTCTACTATTTGCAAAGTTAACTTGCAAAGTTTCATCTTATTATGACAATAAGACGTAGGTTAAATTTTAATTAGCTATTTTTCCACCCTTAGGAGTGGTTTTTTTTTTTCAAATTTAAATGGGATCAAACTGAGTGAAACTGGGCTGAAAATGTTGTATATTCTGATTTCACAAAACGCTTTATTTCTGGGATTGTTTTCATTTCACTGAATCTTTTTATTTTATGTCCTTAGTAACTTAGTAAACCGGTTAAAAAAACACTAAAAAATATACATACAGACAAGAACATAGAACCTCCCCCTTTTTGGAAGTCGGTTAAAAAAAATAACTGATTGCTAGTTTGCATTTACTATATATATATATATATATATATATATATATATATATATATATATATATATATATATTTTTATCAATATATATACATACCTAATCAGATACTTTCGAAATCGGTGTGCTTTAATTTGTATCAGCTGGCACTGACTTCTCAAATATATCATTAGGTATCTATGGTAAATGAAAACTACCAATCAGTTATTTTTTTACTTTTCAGTGTCTTTTTAAAGTCGGTATTATTATAATTTTTTATTTTTCCATTTTTCCTGTAAACATAGCAGTAGCAAAGTAAGAAGAAAGTATTTTAAGTAATAAAATATTCGCTTAAGCCGTTTAAGTTAGTTTGATGTCAAGTTTTGTATGAAGATTCAAAACCTAAAATTCGCTTTTGTTAGCAACACTAAATAAAAATTAGGCACTAAAATCCAATTCTAATGTATTGGGCTTGATAAAACAAACAAAATAAGCCCAAACTCAAAGTATCTACTATTAGCCGTTGTATAGTTCCACTTATCTACCTTCTGGCCTTACCAACGGCAATAGAAACACTTGCTATTTTCTTTAGCTATTTTTCCACCCTCATGGCGTGGTTTTTTTTTCAAATTTGACTGGCAGTATACACTTTAAAACAAAACAAAAATTGTCCAAATCGGTTAATAAACGACGGGGTTCTGAAGTAACAAACATAAAAAAATCTGCCCAATTGAGAACCTCCTCCTTTTTGAAGTCGGTTGAAAATATTGTATATTGTAATTCCATAAATGATAAAACGCTTTATTTCTAGGACTGTTTTCATTTCACACAATCTTTTTATTTTATGGCCTTATTATTCACAAGATAATATTTTAATCCATCCCAAAAAGTTCTTATATAGAAACTTAAAAACCATTTCAAAAAAGAAAACACTAAAATGAAAAAAATAACTGATTGCTAGTTTGCGTTTACTATATATGTATACTTAATCAGATATCGTCGAAATCGGTGTGCTTTAATTTGTATCAGCAGCACCAACTTTAAAAATATGTGATTATCAGTTATTTTTTACTTTTTAGTAAAAAGTTTTTTGGAGTCCGTTTTTTTTAAGTTTTTATTTTTGCATTTTTAGTCTAAACATAGCAGTAGCAATAAGAATAAAGTATGTTAATTAATAAAATATTCGCTTAAGCCGTTTAAGTTAGTTTGAAGCCAATTTTTATATGAAGACTGACAAACTAAAATTCGCTTTTATTAGCAACACTAAATAAAAATCAGGCTCTAAAATCCAATTCTAACTTATTGGGTTTGTCGTAACATAAAAAAAATACAGCCGAATTGAGAACCTCCTCCTTTTTAAAGTCGGTTAAAAAACTTAATGCTAACTACTAGCTATGAACAAATAAAACACCGAAACAACTAAAAAAAAACAACGGAAAACCATAGAAAAAACCACTCACCGTTTACAAAATCAGTGTATTTATAAAAAAATCCAAAAAAATTTTTCTCGTGTCACAGAGTGTCCAAATCCATATACCAGTCATTGCACAAACGCCACTCTCACGCCGCAATTATGGGCACAGAACTGACACGGTGAGCACAAAACACAAAACAAAAAAAAACAGTTTAGAGCACAAAAAGCACAAAATGAGCACCGGGGGAGCACTGGTTTGATCACAGGTTGTTTTTGGAAGAATCACTGGTGGCCGTCATGGTTCCTTTACTGGATGCTGTAAACCGAAAGAAAAAAACATAAATTAAGTAAAAACTGCTACTATTTTCTTAGCTTTACTAGTTGGCCTTTTGAAAGATAGCAAAGTCCCTACCTACTGTAGATAGCAAAATTATTATTGCGTTATATTTTGTATTAATAATTAATTAGTCGTTATTCAAATTCTATACAAAAATCAGAATTTAATGATTAAAATTGTTTACTGCGCCAGTTCGGAAAGAAAAAGCCTCTGTCCTGAAGAGAACTGGCGACTGAAACTCAGCGAGGCTATTTTTAGTGTTGTATTTTAAATAAAATTATATATTACTTAATATTTTTTATATTCGTCTATCCCTCCAGTATAAGTAACGCAATTTCTCATTCTATCTCAGTCATTTTAGCGTCTCACAGCTGGGGATGGCCCAAATGTGGACTACCTTCACCGTAAGCCAAGTGGTAATTACTGCCTTAACTGTTTTGTTTACGTTTAAAAAATTATTATAATTTATCCTAAATACATAACCTTCATTTAAATAAGCAAACATAAATATTATATTATTTATTAATAGACATATTAGTATATATGCATAAAAACAAGCATGCGGGTCAAGCTCAGTGTTATCGCTGCTACAGTCGCGACCTTGAGATAGGTAACGGGTTCATTCCGATAAGTAGCATGACATCATCGCTAAATCCTACTAACATTGTAGACGCGAAAGTTTGTGAGGATGTATGTTTGTTACTCTTTCAAGCAAAAACTGATTTTGGTGATACTTTACAGTAATATAGCTTATAATACATAGGTATATAATTTATAAAGTTATAGGTTATACATAACTGAACTAAGATACTTTCACTAGGAGATCATAAAACTATTTACTGACGCTTTCTTTAGAACTGAATGTTTAGGGTTAAACTTCTAACAAAGGGCAGCCGTTATTATTAGTCTTACTAGCGAAACTTAACCCCGCTTTCGCTTGGGTGGGTCCCTATGTACATTTT